CTCCTAAGCCATGCCTCTAGCCCAGTTGTCTATTTTGCTTCCAAATTAGGAAGTCCCAAATGCTTTAATAGGAACTGAATAAATACTTGTTTTTGAAAGAATAAGCTAGTTAAAAAAACTTGTAATAGTAAAGTATTAATGTCTTTGTATATGTGTAAATGTGGTGGTAGGGGTCTTGTACAAGCTGGTGTAGTGCTCTATCCCTGAACTACTTCCTCACCCCCTTAACCTTACTAACATAATTCTTTTCTTTAATTTTTAATAACACAAAATTAAAAATTTTGATATTAAATCTCTTTCCCATAAAATTTATATGTTCAGCCGGGCACCAGAGGCTCACGCCTGTAATCCTAGCTGCTCAGGAGGCTGAGACCTGTGCCAGCCAGGGCACAAAAGTCAGTGAGGCTCTTATCTCCAATAAACCACTAGAAAATTGGAAGTGGTTCTGTGGCTCAAGTGGTAGAGCGCTTGCCTTGAGCTGAAGAGCTGAGGAACAGTGCTCAAGTTCTAAATTCAAGCCCCAGGACCAACAAAACAAAACAAAAAAATTTATATGTTTACCAATTGCCGTTTGTACTAATATAAATTAGTACATCTCCTGAGTTTTGAAAAGATAGCAAATACGTTTGTAATTATTTCCAAATAGTTCAGCCAAAAAGAAGTGTGTGTATATACAAAGAAGGAAAGATAAAATCTATGTGACAGCAAGCAAGTATTTATTACAGTATTTTCCCAACAATATAAGATTTTGAGCCGGGTGCTGGTGGCTCATGTCTGGAATCCTAGCTACTCAGGAGGCTGAGATCTGAGGATCACAGTTCAAAGCCAGCCCGGGAAGGAGAGACTGTGAGACTCCTATCTCCAATAAACCACCAGAAAACCGGAAGTGACACTGTAGCTCAAGTGGTATAGCACTAGCCTTGAGCTGAAGAGCTGAGGGACAGCGCCCAGGCCCAGAGTTCAAGCCCCACAACTGACCAAAAAAAGAAAAAAAGATTTTGAAATCATGAGTTGGATGAGGACAAGTTCTTATGATAAACTAGGAGTTAACTAAACTATTGAAGATTTTGAGGCACACTTCACCATGTAAAATGGAGTTTGAAAAAAATATTTCACTAAAAGAAAAATTCAGCTAGGTCTTGGTTCCTCATGCCTGTATTCTGAACTACTAATGAGGCTAAAGATCTTGGTTTGAAACCAGTTTGGAAGAAAAGTCCATGAGATTCTTTGCTAGTTATTTTAGTCAGGCCTAGGGCTTGAACTCATGGCCTAGACTCTGTTCTTAGCTTTTTCATTCAATGATAGTGCTCTATCACTTCAGCCACAGCTCCGTATCTGACTTTTTGATGGTTAATTGGAAATAAGAGTCTCACAGACTTTCCTGCCTGGGCTGGCTTTAAACTGTAGTCCTCAGATCTCAGCCTCCTGAGCAGCTAGGATTACAGGTGTAAGCCACCAGCAGCTGCTCCATGAGGCTTCATATCTCCATTTAACCAGCAAAAAGCTGATTCAGGAGGTGTGACTTAATTGTTTTGTGTGTAGTTTAAAAAGCCCACTCTTATATTCTGTTCAACACTGTTTGTTTACATGTATACTGAGGTTTTGGTTTAGTGTTAAGTAATAACAATAAATACTTGTTTTAGGGTTCATTTGGTATTTTATATATAAGTACAAATTTATTTGGTCATTTGTCAAACATGTAGGTTGTTTATAAGTATATTGTTGTGAGATACAATATTTTGGCTAGTTTTTTTGATACATAATTTTAATCTCTTAAGTTAAATACTTGCTAATATAATTAGTAATAGGTCAGAGTTTATACTGTGTGTGTGTGTGTGTGTGTGTATGCGCGCACGTGCGTGCGTTATGAATGCGCGGCCCCCTGGTACTGGGCTTGAATTTAGGGCCTGACTGGCTCTTTTACCCAAGGATAGTGCTCTACCACTTCAGCCACAGCTCAATTTCTGACTTTTTGATGGATAATTGGAGATAAGATTCCCATAGGCTTTCTTGCCAGGGCTGGCTTTGAACAATGGATTCTCAAATCTCAGCCTCCCAAGTACTAGAATTACAGGTGTGAGCCACTGGTGCCCGGCAAGGTGACACATTTTTAAGGCTTACTGTGACCATTTCTAGATTGCCTGGAAAAAGAGTATAAGAAATTCTTTTTCCAGTAGTGGTTAAAGGTTTCTGCTTTTCTGTCCTTGCTGATATCTTTTTCTTAGTAAAAAAAGCGCCTCTATTCATTTGATAAAATTGTTTTTAACTTGGACTTACTTTATTAGTAAAATTTATAACATTTTTGAGTTATTCATCTTGATTGTTACGTGAATATGTTTAGATATTGTTTGCTTTTTGTTGGATTGTTTTTTGAGTTTTTTGATTTATATTTTGTTAGTGGTTTTCTTCACAATTTGTTTCTTAAATTTGTTATTCCCATTTGGATACTTAGGGCATTATATTTTTAATTTGATCAGTGCTTTTGTTAAAAAAGTATTTTTCATTGTATTGAGGTTTGAGTTCAGGGCCTCATTTTTTCACTCAGCTTTTCCCAGGAAGAAACAAAGACCCAAACAGAGGAAATTGGAGCAACAGAGGCTGGAGGTCTGCCCCAAGCTGCCGTGACTTAGCAGTAACTCAGGACCCAAACAAAAAAAATTTTTTTCAGAGTCCTTGGGAACAAATTGTCATATACAAAAGCCTTCACAATATATGAATGTCTATGAAAGTTAATTTAGTGGTTATTTTTGCAAGTATTAGTTGATTTAGTGGATTTAGAAATTGTTTTGCCTTTCATGGTGATGTTTGCCTGTTGAAAAGATACATTTTTCACTGTATTTTTGTTTATTAAATTGATCTGTACACCTTAAATCTCATTTGTTTGTTTTACCAGCCTCAAATGCACAGCCCTTAGTGCTCACTTGGCTTTTTTAGCACACTGCAGGCCTTGTAGTATTTGAGCCAGGCTTTGAGTTCTAGATTTTTTTCTGGAAGAATCTTTTAGATATATCTCCCTAGGCTTTCTCCAAATCTCAGCCCCCTGAGCAGTTATGATTATAGGTGAACCACCAGCACTTGGCTCCAAATCCAATTTTTTATTTCAAATATATGTAATTTTTATTCTGGAAGCCAGTAACTTAAAAGAATTTACATTTTAAGTCTTGGGTTCAAGCCGGGCGCCAGTGGCTCACGCCTGTAATCCTAACTACTCAGGAGGCTGAGATCTGTGGATCATTGTTCAAAGCCAGCCCAGGCAGGAAAGTTAAGACTCTTATCTCCAATAAACCACTCAGAAAACCAGAAGTGGCGCTGTAGCTCAAGTGGTAGAGTGCTCACCTTGAGTTGAAGAGCTGAGGGACAGTGCCTAGGCCCAGAGTTCAAGGCTTTCAGACTAGGCTAAATGCAAATTCTGGAAGTCTGTTACAGTTTCTTTGTCACATCACTAATGCTTTATAGTTATATAACTATAATCTTGTCCCAGAAGTCCTTTAATATTTAATCTGCCTGCTGTTATAGGATATAAAGCTTTTAGCAATATGCATGTTATATTTTAGCTGAAATATTTGCACCAAAGTAATTTTTTAAAAATTTTATTTTATTTTATTTGTGAACATACTGTACAGAGGGGTTACAATTACATGGGCAGGATAATGCGTACATTTCTTACCAAGCATTGCATCCTCCTCCTTTGTGTACCAAAGTAAGAACAGCTATGTGTTCCTATGTGCATTCTTGGTTCAGAATTACTGTTTTTTCACAGCTAATATTTAATACCTTTTGTAATTAATTAACCTATTTTATAATATATAATCCTAATATCCATCTTCATTCTAAGATTATCATAGCCTAAAGGAAATTAGTGCCTTTGTCTAAAATTTATGTGCTATAAGCTTAGCCTGGAAATAGTGTCTGTGTGCTGCATAGTAGATTTAAAAAATTAAAAAAATTGTTATTATAAGAGTGTACAGAGGGGTTATAGTTGTGTAAGTCAGATAAAGAGTACATTTCTTTTTGTATACTTTCATCTTGGATAGTAGATTCTGAGTGCAGAGATATTCATCATATTGCATATCACTCCTGAGGTTTGGTTGAATGGTTTGAAGGTGTGTGTGTGTGTCTGTGTCTGTGTGTGTGTCTGTGTGTCTGTGTGTGTGTCTGTGTGTCTGTGTGTGTGTCTGTGTGTGTGTCTGTGTGTCTGTGTGTGTGTCTGTGTGTGTGGTGGGAGGATGGATTTTTGCTAAAGGGATATTATATGTGCTATACTAGCCTGAATTGTCTTTTATGAAGGTAGCTCAGAGATTGTAGCAGCAGAATCTTAGGTCATTCCTGTGATTTCTGTGCCTAGTATTGGTCCTTGAAAATACTGAAAAATTTTGTTTTTCTTGTTTTGGTTGTTATTTCAGGGCCTCACAAGCTATGATGGGCTTTATCACTGAGCTACCTCCCGTGCCCTGCAAACTTTGGCCATATCATAGCTGCTAATTTGGGTCTACCTAAAAAATTTTATGTAGAATATCAGTATTTTCTAGCCTACTTGATGAAACCAAAAGAGCCATTGCAGTTAAATGGCTGAGAACTTGTTATCTTTCTGTTATGACTGCACTATTATTTTTCTCCAGAAATTCTCTGTAGTGTATTGTTACGTTAAAGACTGGTCAACCATTTGGCTGGATTAGACACTGTAATTTTTAGGGTCTTCAAATAGTGAATGATATACCTAAACTGTGAGAATGCAGGAGATGTATATAATGTGTTTGTATGTTAGTATAAAAATTGCTAATAAAAACTACTATTAGAGAAATAGTGTACATGATTCTCTAAGCTTAGGACTTCACACGTGCTCACCTGGAATTCTACCATTTGGTCTATACCTCCAATGCTTCTTTTGTGTTTGAAAATTTACTTTTTCAGTTAATACTTTATCTCTGACATTGGTTGGTAGTGAGAAATAAATGGGTGTCCTCAGTTTTTTGTTCTTTTTTTTTTTTCTTTCTTTAAAGGATCCAGCATTTGGAGGAAAACATGATGCTCCCTCTTCTCCAATTGCTGGGCAACCATGTGCAGATGATCAAAATGCTTCACCTTCAAAGCTTTCAAAGGAAGAGTTAATACAGAGTATGGATCGTGTTGATCGAGAAATTGCAAAAGTAGAACAGCAGATCCTTAAACTGAAAAAGAAACAAGTAGGTGTTTTTCTATTTAGCATATTCTACAATGTGTCTCTCCAGTGAAGTTAGTTTTATCCATTTTTCCTGGTATATTGTCCGATTATATGATCTTTAACTGTACTAGATGACCCCCAGTTTGCTTAGGTTGTAGTACAGTTTATGTTCCACTGGCAGCATTTATATCTGCCAGCTTATGCATATCTTTATTGTTTTGTCTTTTTCATTTGAATATGAAATAGTTCTTAATGTGTTTTAATTTGCCTTTGCTTGATTAAGAGTGAGGTTCAGTTTAATTTTTTTCCATTTTGATTTATTTTCACTTCTTAGGTATATTATTTAAGTCTTCTTTCATATTGTTTCCTAAACTTTACTGTCAGTATGTATAGAGTATATATTGTCTAATTTTTGGCTTGTCATTTAATTTTTTTAAGCAGCCTTTTTGAGGGAAGAATTCTAGCTAAAAAAGAATTCAAAGAATTCAAAACAATAACAAATTCAAAGCTAAAAAAATTATTTTTTAAGAGATGGGGGTCTCATATTGCTGAAGTTGGCTTTGAATTCCTGTCTCAGTTCCTACTTAGCTCAGAGTACATTCTGTTATGTTTGGCTCAACAGCGGATTATTTAAAACATTGAGATATATTCATAGATGATAGTGTTTAGCCTTTCAGAATGTACAATTAAGTGTATTTTGTATTAGATATATTCATGTAGATAGATTCTATCATTACTAGTTCTGGAACATATTTTTCAAAATGAAACTTTACATCTGTTAGTCTTTTTTTTTTTTTTTAATCTGTTAGTCTTTTTTAAAAAAAATCTTCGCCATGATTTGCCTATTGTTGACATTTCAGATCAATAGAATCCTCTTCTGACCTTACCATGTTTGGCTTCATTTATTTGGCATGTTATCAAGGTTCATCCACATTGTATCTTGAATCATTTCTTCTTTAAATTTTTATTTATCAGTTAGTTGATGGGCATTGGGTTATATCTTTCAATTATTTTGATAATGCTGTTCTGATATTCATGTACTTCGTTGTGCGGAATTTCTTTTTCAAAATCTTCTTAGATGTATATCTTTTTTTATTGAGGGGGGCGGTCTGGTCCTGAAGCCTGAACTCCGGGCCTGGCTGCTGTCCCTCAGCTCTTCAGCTCAAGGCTACCGCTCTACCACTTGAGCCACAGCGCCACTTCCAGCTTTTTTCTTTTTTCTTATGTGGTGCTGAGGAATGGACCCCAGGGCCTCATGCATGCAAGGCAAGCGCTCTACCACTGAGCCACCTTCCCAGCCCCACACCATGTTTTTTTGAGAAACAAAAGCAATCTTTTTCTTTATGCCCTGGCTGATTCTAACTATTACTGTTTTCTCTCCACTTCCTATGTAGTTGAGTGAGCTCCACAATGCCAACCTTTTTTCATGGCTGTAAGGGTGTATATATACATGTATGATTTTAGATCCTCATCAGATAATGACTTGAAGATGTCTTCTCATTCTGTATGTTGTCTTTCACTACCAGATAGTATGAAAAAGTTTTTAATTTTTTGGAGTCTAGTTTTTCTTTTAACACTTTGTGTATGTGTGTGTATGCACATGGTAGGGCTTGAATTCTGGGCCTGGTTGTTGTCCCTGAGCAATTCAGCTCAAGGTTAAGTGCTTTACCACTTTGAGCCACAGAGCCACTTCCAGTTTTCTGGTGATTAATTGGAGATAAGAGTCTCACAGACTTTCCTTTCTGGGCTGGCTTTGAACCGAGATCCTTAGATCTCAGCCTCCTGAGTAGCTAGAATTATAGGTGTGAGCCACTGGCTTAACACTTTTTCTTTTACACTTATATTTATGTATGGCATTGTACTGTATTATCTTACAAGTTGTATACTTATGCTCACAATATTTAATCCACTGGTAATTGATTTTTTTCATCTGCTTCAAGGTAGAGGTCATAATGTTTTATTTTTTTTTGGTTGCTGGTCTTAGGGCTCAAACTCAGGGCTTGGATTCTATCTCTGAGCTGTTTTTTGCTCCAGTCTAGTGCTGTACCACTTGAGCTACAGCTCTACTTGTGGCTTATTTTGGTAATTGATTGGGCATAGGAGTTGGATGACTTTTCCTGGTTGGGCTGGTCTTGAACTGCAATCCATAGATCTCAGCCTCTTCAGTAGTTATGGTTGCAGACATGAGCTACCAAAGCTTAGCTTCGTTTTTTTCCCTTGTATTGGTAGTTTATTAAAAAGACTATTCCTTCTTGTTCTGCAGTGTGACTATTACAGTTCATGTTTGCATCTGTAAGTGGATTGATTTCTGATCTTTGTGTTTGTATCTATTGATCTCTTTGTAGTATTCAGAAATTACTAGACATTTATAATAATTCTTTTCCAGTTTGATAAACCCACTTCCATAAGCATAATTTAGCTTTTTTTTCTTTTTCTTTTTTTTAATCCATTGTGAGGCCTGAACTCTGGGCTTGGGCACTGTCCCTCAGTTCTTCAGCTCAAGGCTAGTGTTCTACCACTTGAGCCACAGTACCACTTCTGGCTTTTCTGCTTATGTGGTACAGAGGAATCAAACCCAGGGCCTCATGCATGCAAGGCAAGCACTCTAGCACTGAGCCACCTTCGTAGCCTTAGCTTTTTTTTTTCCCCCCTCCTATACGGGTTCTGGGGCATGAACTCAGCCTGGGCTCAAAGCTAATGCACTACTACTTGGGTTACACCTTTACTTCAGCTTTTTGGTGTTTAATTGGGGAGAAGAGTCTCAAGAACTTTACTGTCTTGGCTGGCTTTCAACTTGGACTCAGCTTCCTAAGAACCTTGGATTGCAGGCATGAGCTGCTGGCATCCAGTGTAATTTAGCTATTTGAAAAATGTATATATTTCATATAATATTTAGGATCGTATTGTTTGATTTTCAAAAAATCTTGCTAGATTCCCCCCCCCCCCAATCCTGGGGCCTGAACTAGGGGCTTGGGCATTGTCCCTGAGCTTCTTTTGCTCAAGGCTAGTACTCTACACTTGAGCCATAGTATCATTTCCGGCTTTTTTCTGTTTATGTGGTACTGAGGGATCGAACCCAGGGTTTCATGGAAGCACTCTGTTACTGAGCTACATTCTCAGCCCTCTTTCTGGAATTTTATGGAGCTATGTAGAATTATAGAGACCATTTTTGAGGGAATGATATCTTTATGCTATCATGTTATCCAGTCTATGAATATGATGCCTCTATTTTAGAAAGTTTTTCATATTTTATTTTTTTGTTAATAATTTAATGCTTTGGTTAGACTTAGCCTTAGGCACTTCCTTTTTTATGCCATTGTTAATACTTTTTTTTTTTTTTTTGGTCGGGGCCTGAACTCTGGGCCTGGGCGCAGTCCCTCAGCATTTCAGCTCAAGGCTAGTGCTCTACCACTTGAGGCACAGCGCCACTTCTGGCTTTTTTCTGCTTATGTGGTGCTGAGGAATGGAACCCAGGGCCTCATGCATGTGAGGCAAGCACTTTACCACTGAGCCAACTTCCTAGCCCCCATTGTTAATACTTTTCTTTTTTTTGGGGGGGGGTCCGGTCGTGGGACCTGAATTCTGGGCCTGGGCGCTGCCCCTCAGCTTTTCAGCTCAAGGCTAGTGTTCTACCACTTGAGCCTACAGCGCCACTTCCGGCTTTTTTTTTCTTTTTGCTTATGTGGTGCTGAGGAATTGAAACCAGGGTCTCAGGCATGCAAGGCAAGCACTCTACCACTGAGCCACCTTCCCAGCCCCAAATTGTTAATACTTTTATTTATTTATTTATTTTTTGGGTCTGGTCATGGGGACTGAATTCTGGGCCTGGGCGCTGACCCTCAGCTCTTCAGTTCAAGGCTAGTGCTCTACCACTTGAGCCACAGTGCCACTTCCGGCTTTTTTTTTTGTTTATGTGGTGCTGAGGAATCGAACCCAGGGCCTCAGGCATGCAAGGCAAGCACTCTACCACTGAGCCACCTTCCCAGCCCCAGGGTCTTATTTTTAAAAGGCCAGAACATAAAAGTGTTTTTCCAATAACATCTAAAGGCCATTGTGATAGAGGTCCATAGGTAACTTCATTAAGTTTAGTTTCTCTTAATGTTTTGCTTTAAATTTGTCAAAATTTAAATACTAAAAATTATTTCCCTTTACCTTTATGTGTGTATATCTATTTTAGGTTGTTTTGTGTTTTTCTGTTATTAGTTACAATGAATGTTTTCCTTTGAGCTCTTGGTTCCCTGAGATTCTCATAGATTAAGTCATTCCCTTATAGAATCAGCAAGCAAAGTTTGGGACCCTGTGTTATCTCTAGCAGTTAATTACTGGTGGGTGGTGATGTGCCTAGATGTCTGACTCTTCTTTTCCGGGTCTCTTAGCAACAGCTTGAAGAAGAAGCAGCTAAACCTCCTGAGCCTGAGAAGCCTGTGTCCCCTCCTCCAGTGGAGCAGAAACACCGCAGTATTGTCCAAATTATTTATGATGAGAATCGGGTAAGCTTACTCTGTCTCTGTCAGCACAGGCTGTTAAACCCTCTTGACTACCTTTTCTGTTTCTAAACAAATTATAGTTATATTAAGACCTGATTTCCAATTTATGTTACATATTATACAAAAATTAAGAGTAGGACTTAAGTGATTTTACTATTAAATACTGATAAACAAGTTTGATGGCACGTAATATAAAACTTTCTATTTCTTCATAAGCATTTAATACCAAAGCCTAATAACTTTTCAATTCAGATAGGCCTTTGCATCTGGAAATGAACTTCATCATTATCGTCTTCTAATTATTATTTGTGCCTGGGCTATGGTTGGATTTTAGTGCATAAAGTTCAAGGTAGTCATTGAAGTTCAGTTAGGCTTTTAGTTAAATCAGTCTCTTCTTTTCATATTCTTAGTTAAAAATACTTATGGATTTAGGAAAATCTGGCCTCAATTTCAGGAATTATTTTAGTAACAGTTTCTGGCAGACCCTGGCTCAGAAACTACCAATTAAAGGGAAAACTGATTTCACCCCAATGTTAAGAAAACATTTTATCATATCTGATGGGCAGTGTGCTTCCAGAAGTCCTCAATAGGCTTTAAGTATTATGGGAGAGAATAGGCTTCTTACTTAAAGTTGATCAGCAGTAGCAAGTTGGGATTGTTTATTTTTTAGGGAGTTGACTTACCAGAGTTGATTTTTTTTTTTTTAACAAATCTGAAAGGTATTTGCCTGAAGAAAAGCAAATGTTGGTAGGGAATAACTTAGTGGTAGAGTATCTGCAAAGAGCCCAGTTATCTATTCCTAGGTCCCCGAGGGCGGGGTGGGGTTCGGGTGGGGCTAATAGGGGCAGGGTAAAGAAAAAAAAAAGCCACTGGTGGGAAAAGCCTGGATTCAGATATATGTATGTGGGTGTGTGTGTGTGTGTGTGTGTGTGTGTGTGTGTGTGTGTGTGTGTGTGTGTGTGTGTGGAGAGAGAGAGAGAGAGTGTGTGTGTAGGTAAATATATAATTAGGGTCATCAGATATATAATAGTTGTATTAAGTGCCATGGGCAGGTTAAAATATAGGCAATTAATAGTACCCTGGTTGGGCTCAAAATTGATCCAGTTTATTAAATAACTGGAATGATACAATGAAGATAAATCCAATGAAAGTAGAAGGCATTAAAGGACCTAAATGAGGACTGCCCCCTCATGTCATACCTTAAGGGAAGATATAGCCATGGGTAGATAGTTGCTCTTCTGCTTGGAACAACATAGAAATAAAAGGTTTTGTGTGAAATCTCTGATTGGCTTGAATTCAGGACTTTAAACGCTAGCTTGACTTTCTTGTTCATGTCTGACACACTTATACTTGAGCCATATCTCCAGTCTACAATTTTGCTGCTAAGAGATGGAATTTCACAGATTTTTCTGCCTAGGTTGAGGTTCTCCAGTTCTCAGCTTCCCTAGTAGCTAGGATTATAAGTATGTGCAGTGTATACCTGGTTCAAGATTTTACGTTTTATAAAAAGTATTTTGTTTTTTGAAGTATGAGGTAACAACTTGGATTTAGTGATACTTATTGATCGATTTATTTTATTTTACTTTACTTTATTTTATTTTATTTTTGTCGGTCATGGGCCTGAACTCTGGACCAGGGCACTGTCCCTTAGCTCTTCAGCTCAAGGCTGAAGTGGCTCTACCACTTGAGGCACAGTGCTACTTCTGGCTTTTTTCTGCTTATGTGGTGCTGAGGAATCAAACCCAGGGCCTCATGCATGCAAAGCAAGCACCCTACCACTGAGCCACCTTTCCAGACCTGATTGAATTTTTTAGGGAGCTAAGGAGGGATAGATAACTGAGGGCCTTGCATATGCTAGGTAGATAGTCTACCATTAAGCTATTCTCCCAACCACAATGAGCCTATGCTACAAAGATCAACAGTTCCTATACTAGTGAATTCTTTGGTTACCTTATTGAGATATGAAGACTGAAAACTATTGAACATGGTTTGATAGAGAAATTATTTATATAGTACCTTCATTAGATAGTGAAGTGTGTGTGTGTGTGTGCATACACACACACACATATATATATATATATCACATATATATATCACACACACACACATATAGTTTTTTTCTTTTTACATAGTACTGAGACTTGAATTACAGGTCCTTGCTTAGCCCTTGCTTAGCTTTTTTGCTTAAGGCAGGTGCTTCCAGTTCTGGCTTTTTTGCTGTCCAATTGGAGATAAGTGTTTTATGGACACTGCTGACCAGGCTGGCTTGGAACTGTAGCCCTCAGATCTCAGTCTCCTGAGTAGCTAGGATTATAAACATGAATGTTTCTTTTTTATTGTTCATTTTATAAAGAAAGGGAAAATGAAAATTGAAATCTTAGTCATAGAGTTACCTTTTTAAAAGTTACCTTTACAAAGTTGTATAAAGGGGTTTAAATTCAACATGTCTGTTTATGAGTAGAAAACTTCTTAATCAGAGTCACCCCTTTCACCATTCTTTCCTGTCAGTTACCTTCTTATAGTAGAAAGTCTTCTTTTTAAAGAAAGCTTTTTAGCTCAAAATAACTGTAAGAAAAGCATGAGCGAAAAAGATTCTTTTTTTCTGCTTTTATAAGTATACCCTGTTGTTACTCAATTGCTCCTGCTACACTTTTGCATTCCTAGAATGGTAGCTTGTTTCCTGGCTTGTAGGAAGATGAAGGCTCAGCTATGTCTACAGCATAGTTCTTTATTGCTTGCTTTGCAGTGCTCTTCCTTCCTTACTATGTTGCCTCTTAAATGTAAGGTCTCCACTGCTTGTTTAGCTTTTATTAATGACTAGCCTTATTTATTTCCATACCATTGACTGGAGAGAGGAGATAATGACAAAAGTACATAAGGAATTAAGCCCAGTGTGGCTTAAGTGGTAGCAGCCATTATCATTTGTATGTCTTTCTTTTATTTAGAAAGTTAGTAGGAGGAAGAAAACTGCCAAAAAGAGAATACTAATTTTAAAGTTGGCTCCCTGAGAGAAAAGTTGGCTTGGTTCCAATTTAAACTTCAGACTAAGTTTGTTTAGTCTTTAAACAGACTATTCTCCTGGACTATTTTTTTTTTCTCCTGGACTATTTTTTAGGTTTGGTTTTTTTTTTTATTTCTCTGCTCAGTTGTAGCCTTCAGAAATATTTGTAAGTGCTCTAATTTCATAATAATAATATGTACAGACATTGGTTGTTAGATTATAGTGGAGAAGTTTTTAGAAATACCTTTTTGTATTTTGATTGGATGATTTGCAAGAGAATGTGGCACCAGAGAAAAGGAAGAGGTTGATACAGAATATGTTTTGTGTCAACAGTCACTAGACACCCAGGCCAGGTGAATTGCCTGTTTTTCTCTGTCACTGAAAAATATCATTAAAAAAAAATTTTTTTTGTGGCAATCCTGAGGCTTGAACTCAGGGCCTGGGTGCCATCCCTGAACTTTTTTTTTTTTTAATTTTTTTATTGTAAAAATACCGTACAGAGCCATCCCTGAACTTTTTTGCACACAGCTGGTGCTCTACCACTTGAGTTATAGATCTACTTCCAGCTTTTTGGTTGTTCATTGCATATATAAGAGTCTCTTGGACATATCTGCCTGAGTTGGTTGGCTTTGAACTGTGTTCCTCAGATCTCAGCCTCCTAAGTAGCTAGTATTGGAAATGTGAGCCTCAAGTGTCTACCCATTAACTTTATTTAAAGTTTTCTTCTTACATAATTGCAGAATTTCCTTCTTTTAGTCTTTATTTTCTTTCTAACCTATCTTTGTCATTCCATATATCAAGCATTACTCCAAACAAAATCTTTTGATTATTCCTCAGTTGGTACAGAATAGCTAAAACTAGCTACCTGTCTACCCTTACCCTAAAGTTCCTTTCCTAGTGATATCCTACCAGAACAAATCTTTTTTTTTGTTTTGTTTTATTAAATTACTATTTTTAAATGGTTGTACAAAGGGATTTCAATTCAACAATTAGTTTATGAGTATAATGCATTTTGATCAATGTCACCTCTTCAGTTGAAGAACAGCTGTTCACCCTTCCCCCAAACTGGTTTTGAATGGTTCCATAATGGTTTTTAGTTCCTTTCCCCCACATTGTTGCCTTAGCCTTCAAACTGTTCATTGCTTTATCTTTTTTATCTGTGGGGCACATTCATTCTTCAAGACCCAGCTCAAATATCATTATCTTTGACACCCTTCACTGTTGATAGTGATTATGATTATATTGTTTATTATTTTCTTAATTTCTGGGAGGTACCTGGCACAGAGAACACATTCAAATTTGAAGAATTACTTAAATTTGTAGGCAATAAAAATTGTATAGCACAATTTTTGTATGTATTATTGTTTTGGTTTTTTTGTTGTTGTTGTTGGTGGTGGTGGTAGTTAAGATTGAACCCAAGGCTTTGTCACACTGTCTAAACTGAGCTTCATCCTTTGTCTGCCAGTTGATAGGTTAATTGGTTCCTATCCAGGAACTAATCATTATTTACTTTTGAAAAATGCATGGTAATTTTATAATTTAGTTTATTTTGTACTGAGTTGAATAAAATTAAGTCTTTGTTGTTCTGCAGTGTACTTGTAACTAGAAAGTAAGTTCATGATGAGCTGTAGTCAGATCACTCTCGTTTACCACAGTAAGACTGGCCACTTTATAGTATTTTGTTTTTAAATTTTTATTAAAGATAAGCATGACTTATGGGGGCTTTATTTCTAGTAGAAAATCTCTATTCTGTTTCTCTAGATTTTAATAACTGTTTAAGAACTTTCCAATTCTTTAGGCATTGTTCTTACTGCAGATATTAAGCTTTGATTAAATTTGGTAAGGAAAACTATTAAAATTACAAATGTATTATGCCTGAACTCTTGCTACTCAGGAGGCTGAGATCTGAGGATTGTGGCCCAAGCAGAAAAGTCTATGAGACTCTTTTCTCTAATTAACCAGAAAAAGCTGAAAAAGCTGAGGGATAGCACTCAGGCCCTGAGTTCAAGCCCCAGAATTGGCAGTAAAAATAAAAAAATTAGAACATGTTTCAGCCTGTTATATAAAAGAATAATATTGGAAATAAGGATGTTTAATTATAGATTAGTTGTAGATAAATATTTTTAAATAGGTAGTAATTCTTTCAGGTAATAGGTTTTAATTAAATAATATTAACAACATCTTTATCCATAGAAAAAAGCAGAAGAAGCTCATAAAATTTTTGAAGGTCTTGGCCCAAAAGTTGAATTGGTAAGTAAGAAATTTATTTTCTTGTTCGTAATTCCCCCCCCTTTTTTTTTTTTTTGCTGGTCGAGGAGCTTGAACTCTGGGCCTAGGCACTGTTCTGAGCTCTTCAGCTCAAGGCTAGCACTTGAGCCATAGCACCCACTTCCAGCTTTTTCTGTGTATGTGGTGCTGAGGAATCGAACCCAGGGCCTCATGCATGCAAGACAAGCACTCTACCACTGAGCCACCTTCCCAGCCCTATCCTCCCCACCTTTTTTATTGTTGGTCTGGGGCTTGAACTCTGGGCCTGGACGCTGTCCATGCACTCTTCAGCTCAAGGCGAGCACTCTACTGCTTGAGCCACAGCGCCACTTCTGGTTTTCTAGTGGTTTATTGGAGATCAGGGTCTCACGGACTTTTCTGCCTGGGCTGGCTTTGAACCATGATCCTCAGATCTCAGCTTCCTGAGTAGCTAGGATTGCAGGCATGAGCCACCGGCGCCCAGCCTAATGCCCCCTTTTTTTGGTATCAGTAGTAGCTTTTCTTGGGGTAAAATGGAATATGACTCCTTTATTTTGGGATGAGAAGGATGCATCTTGGGCAGACAAAGTTTGTGATAAAGTTTAATATAATAGCAAATGAATTTGGCTTATTTTTGCAGAAACATCCTGAGCGTGTGTTCATTGAGCTCGCACATGGAATCCTTTAAGATAAAAGGAAAAAATATTGATAGAAAATTCTTTATGCCATACTTTCAGAACAATGAATGTGTGATCTTTTCCTTTGAAATAAAATGAAATCTATGAGTAATCATACTCACTATAGGACATAGTGAGTTTGCAAACTTTCTTAGAGAAGTGGAAATTTTAGGAGATGGAATTATTCAGGAACCCCAGAAGTCTGAAGGTTTTGGCAGGGCATGTTATTATATTGAAGATCAGGTAGGACTAGGCTTAAAATGTTGATTTTAAGTGGGGCACTGGTGGCTCAGACCTGTAATTCTAGCTAAATAGGAGGTTGAGATGTAAGGAACACAATTTGAGGCCAACAGGCAGGAAAGTCCAGTTCATGAGACTTAATCTCCAGTTAGCCACCAGAAACTTGGAAGTGGAAACTGGAAGTGTGACTCAAGTGATAGAGCACTAGCCCTGACCAAAAAAGTTCAGGGACAGCACCCAGGCCCTAGACCAGCACACAAAAAAAGTTTATTGTATGTCTCTTCTTAGACATATGTATACCATTTTACACAGAATATGTGGTTTATTTTACAGCCACTCTATAACCAGCCATCAGACACCAAGGTTTACCATGAGAACATCAAGACGTAAGTATTTATCATCTTTGGAGTTCTTCTGTTAAAGACCATATATTCTATAAAGAGATCATTTTTATGTTATCTGCTGACATTATAACATAATGTAGATGTGTTTTAGATTTGTGTAATTTGCTGTCATTTTTTACTATATGTTATCTTCCTCTGGCTTCTTGGGGGTTGGGGTAACAGCTTTGAGTTTCCGAGGCCAAAAAGTGAAATAAATTATTGCATAAAACTAGCTGGTTTTATAATCTGCTAGTAAAAAAAGGTGGATACTTAAAATTGAAATGGCTTACCTTGAGGCTTGAATTTTTTGCCTCCTGTTTTGTCTTTTTTTCAGTGGAGTACCTGCAAGGCGCATGATGAAGTAAGATAATGAAGCTTTTTCATTTAAGACTAGTGATGACACCGTCCCCCACCAAGCCACATCTGCCATTGCAAAGTAGAAGTGCCACGGATCATTTTATCATTATTCAAAATCCTATTCTAGGGAAATCCCTTCCATGACTCTTTCTAATGACGGTATTTGTAGATCCTTCTGCCATTTAATGTCCTGGTGCCTTGGAAGGCTCAGTCACCTCATGTCGGTGAGGAGGCTGCTCCAGAATGTAGTTTGCTCAGCCTTACTCATCCTAGTACCAGGCCTTTATGGATGCAGATCTTGGAATAAGAAAATAAGTGAAAAGAAAACTTAATTTCTTGATCTGATTGAAGAGAGGAACCTAGATAGGTATCTTTTTTTTTTTTTTTAAGTATCGTACTTTAAGAACATTTTCGTTGAATTATTCTTACTTGGTGACAAATGTGATATTTCTATCTTACATGTTTTATTAATATAACTGATTAGTAATGAGCACATGGCTATATATATATTCTAAGAGTGTGTGCAATAGTTAACTACTTTGCAGAACTGGTGGCAAATATAATTTGCATGGTAGTGTGCATGAAAATCATTGAATTGGAATTTAAACTTTTGTTAAGTAAGTAGTTATAAACGTCACATATGAAGAATTTTTCTGTGAGATGCTACTCTGGTCTCAAGAATCATTAGGAATAGATTAGGCTAAAACTTGTAAAATATGTCTTGTTTAAGAATTGTTTTTAACTGTTTAAATCTTTTTTTTTTTTAAGAATAATAGATAAAACTTAGTTGGTTACTTTCAGTGACTTTTTTTTTTACCCCCATAAAGCTTTGGTTATGTTTGTGCTTTGTCTTTTCCCTCTTATAATTTGAAGAGCAGCTCTGTCCTTCATTTATTTCATGCTATCCACATTATGTATTTAGTGCTTGTCATACTGTCCTCAGGGTGGTACTGACTACTATGACTTCACTTAAATTCTTTTGAAGCATTTAAAATTACTTTTATTGTCATTTGCTTTAGTTTAGAACATAATTAGAATTAGAGAAAATTGAATATATGCTTTCACAATACGTTGTCTTTTGGAATATTTACTCAGCCGTGTGCATATATAGTAAGTCATTCTGTAGCTATATTCTTTAAATATCGTCATTTGCTTTGTATGAAATAGCAAATGTACCTTTTAATAATTCTTTTCATCTCTTGGTTACGTTACTCTTTTATATGGCCATCTCCTAATTGTCCATGCTTATTTGAGTATAGTCAGTGCCAATGTTAAGTCTTGAGTGACAGATGATTCAAAAGACTGCTTCTGTGTGCCTTGGCTTTCTATTTATATTTGAATAATAAGCTTGAAATCATTTGGAAGTCGGTGGGGTGTAAATATTTATATTTGAAACCTGCATGTCACTGTTTTTGAAGATCACAGTGCTTCCAATTAAAAAAATTTAAAATTGTTAAGCTATAGTAGAAATCTTCCTGTCATATGCCCTCCATTATTTCTTCGAGTGGGTTTGTAATAGAGGAAAATCTTATGTTTAAAGCAGAAATTGCTTCTCTCTAAATGTGTTGTTGTACATTATTTTTATAATAGAGAGGCCAGGGCCAGCTCCTTACTTGAGTAGGGAGGTACCTGTAAAACTTCTTTTCCCTTTACCTTCATTTCCTCTAAGTATCCATTGCTAGAGTTCTTAAAAAGAATAAGTGACTATATAATTTGAGAATAAAAATATGTTATAACTATGTATATTAATTAAAAGTTAGCTGTATTATCTTTGTGTAGAATGGGAAGATTTTTAGTCAATTATAATTATTGCAAAAATTATAGTCTTATTTTGCAGGTTGAAAAAATTAAGATTAACTTTGATTGCATCATAAATTCTTAAGTGATCTTTGCCTGTTTGCCAGTGTCTCTGGAAAAAAAAGTAACTGCAGCATTAAATTGGGCTTTTTCTTAATGTTATGCAACCATATTTTTCTCTTCTAGAAACCAGGTGATGAGGAAAAAACTCATTTTATTTTTTAAAAGAAGAAATCATGCAAGAAAACAAAGGGTGAGGTCCTATCCTTGTTAACTGCAATTTGTACAGCCTTCCCATTCATGCTCATTTAGGCATTCACTTTCCCATTAATTATTAGTCTTTGATTATATTGAGAACAAATGCTGATTTAAAAAGTGATGGTAAATGTGAATTGAATGTGAATCTGATACTAATAATATTTCAGTATCATATTTAATATTATAATCAAATTAACTTCATGAGTCATTTTTGTATGACATTTTCATCTAACTAAAATAAAGCAAATGGTGATTATTTAAAATAATATGAAGGATAGAGTGATTCTCTTACACCTCAATGTAGGTAAGTTATAGTCATGTCAATTAGAACTGGGTTAACTATGGTTCAGTTTTTTCAAATTCAAAGTTTCTCATTTAATTACATGACTTGCTAGCCAAAACTTTTGTGGTTATAATCACAGGATTTAAGTTACAGAAAATACATTGCCAATAAACTTATTTTCATAAAATGTTTATACTGATTTTACAGGGAAACTATTAATGTATTTAAATTCAGATGTTTAATAAATGAAGCTCTTAAACATTAAGTGTGAACTTTGTACCTTACAATGAATAATTGACAGCTTAATGAAACATAAAGCTCATTGGTTGCAAAATTACTGAAGTTATAATTTGCCAATCTAGTCCTTATTATTGTTCTTGAACTATTTGTTTTGCCAAGAACATACAAATATTAAGAAATGAGCTGACTTTTTAATGTTGTTGTTGGTCATAGGACTTGAACTCTAGGCCTGTGTGCTGTCCCTCAGCTCTTCAGCTCAAGGCTGGTGCTCTACCACTTGAGCCACAGTGCCACTTCCGATTTTCTGTTGGTTTATTGGAGATAAGAGTCTCATAGACTTTCCTGCCTGGGCTGGCTTTGAACTGTGATCCTTAGATCTCAGCTTCCTGAGTAGCTAGAATTACAGAAATGAGCCTCCGGCACCCAGCTTGATCTGGCTTTTTTGTCTATCAATTTGTTGAAATTGCTAAATTAGCTCTCTGGTGATATAAACACAGAAGCTTAGAGGTTTTCACAGTTTGGAGAGTAATTAAAAAATTTACATGTTAACTGATTTGTGTATTCTTTCTCATGTATTATTCTAGAAAGATGAGCAAGATAGCCATATGATTTAATAAATAGTAGGGAGGCAGGTACAGTAGTCTGTGGTCACACACATACAAGTAACTATGAGAACATGTAAAAGGTGACACCTCATGTGGATATGAATCAGGTAGGGATAACTCTGAAATTTGTATTAAGTAAAATGGGGTCTATTGTTGCAGGCTCAGAGCTGGCAGGACCTTAGGAGTTGAGCTAGGGAGAATGCTAGAGGAAGTGGGGTCTTGGCTTGTAGACTTTCCTGAGGGTCATGGAGGAGATTTTGGATCAATTCCTTGGAGTACCTTATAATTTTAAACTGAGGAGATAACAGTGTTTCAAGTTTGTATTTTAAGAATTTATATCTGGCCATAACATTAAGAATATATTGGAAGGTCTGGGACGATAGCTCAAGGGTACAATTCTTGCCTAACATGTATGAGGCCCTGAGTTTCATGCCCTGCTCTGCCCCCCGCCCCCCCCAAAAAAAAGCCATAAGCATAAGAGGTATTTAGGAAGTGGTGGATTTAATCTGGGTAAGTAGAATTGGCTTGAGGTATTAATAGAGATGGAGAAAAGGTGAATGATAAAAATGCATATGGAGTTGGAAAGAATATTTAGGACATGGGGACTTAATGGAGTGAGTATAAGGAAGAAATACTTCTCTAGTGCCTCTTCTTGAGAAAAGCAATGTTGGCCATTTTTTCCTGTGTCGTCCTTATTTTTCTCAGCCCATCTGTTAGATGTGTACGTAGTTCGGTGCTCATAATGGAAGATTATTCTCTGTTCTTTATTTAGAACATCGAGTAATAATTCACTTATTTATAAAAGCATTATTTTTTGTTTGTACAGAGAATTGAATTCAGAACCTAATGGTTTCCAGGCAGATACTCTACAACTTGAATCAAGTACCCAGCCTTTTTTTTTTTTAAACACTTATTCACACAGGGTCTAATGTTTATACCTAGACTAGCTTAGACCATGATACCCTATTTATACTTTCTGCATAGTAGGGATGACAGATATGGGCCACTGTACTCAGCCACTGGTTGTGGTGGTATTTTGTCTGGTCTAATCTTGAACCACAATCATCTTAATCTTTTCCACCTTAGTAACTGGGATTATAAATGTGAGCCACTGTGCCTTGCCCCAAATATTAGGTCTGTCTGTCTCTTTCTTTCTTTCTCTCTCCCTCCCTTCCTCCCTCCCTCCCTTCCTCCCTCCCTCCCTCCCTTCCTCCCTCCCTCCCTTCCTCCCTCCCTCCCTCCCTTCCTCCTTCCTTCCTCCTTCCTTCCTTCCTCCCTCCCTCCCTCCCTCCCTCCCTCCCTCCCTCCCTCCCTTCCTTCCTTCCTGTCGGTTGTGGGGCTTGAACTCTGGACCTGGGTGCTGTCCCTGAGCTCTTCAGCTCAAGGCGAGCACTCTAAAGCTACAGTGCCACTTCTGGTTTTCTGGTGGTTAATTGGAAATGAGTTTCATACTTTCCTGCCCGGGCTGGCTTTGATCTGTGATCCTCAGATCTAAGCCTCCTGAGTAGCTAGGATTACAGGCATGCGCCACCGCTGCACCCAGTGTGATTTAATATATTTACTGGTCTGCCTGCCTGCCTGCCTTCCTGCCTTCTCTCCCTCCCCCCTCCTCCCCTCCTTCCCCCTCCTCCTTCCCTCTCTCCCTCCCTTCCTTTTTTTTGTAGATTGTGGGGCTTGAACTCAGGGCCTGGGCACTGTCCCTGAGCCTCTTTGTATTCAAGACTAGCCCTGTACCAGCACCACTTCCAGATTTTGAGTGCTTAATTGGAGATAAGAGTCCCAGAGAGACTTTTCTGCCTGGACTGGCTTTGAGCTACAATTCTTAGATCCCAGCCTCCTGAGTAGCTAGGATTATAGGCATGAGCCACTGGCGCCTGGTTGGATTTCTTTGTATGATAAAACGTAATCAATTTCTGCCTTTATCTTTTCAAAAATGTCTATTGTATATAGTATTTATCCATAATAGCAAAATAGTAAAACTACCAGAACCTTCAACTCTAGAGGAATGGTTAAATGTTCATATTATCTCTTGACAGATTGGCTGGATCTCAACAAAATATTCTTATGGTTGGCTTTGGGTTATTGGTCATATTATAAATTGTATTGCTAATGTTGGTTTCTATTTTTTGACAATGAAGTCATGTAACCAGGAAAACAAAAGTATCAGTCAAACTGCTAGTAATAGTAGGTGTTTGATATATTAATTTGTATAGTTTAATGTTTACTAAAAAATTCCAGGCAAAGTATGCTCTATATTTTTGACATTAGGAAATGACTCCTTTTCTCTCTTGTTACATCAAGGACAACTTTTCATTCATAACTAATCATAGGCAAATGTACTTCTGACTTGACCTTAAAAAGAATTTATTTCAAAGTGTTAAGTTTATCAGAGTCACTTTTCAGAGTTTAGTTTAATTACTACTAACTTGCTATGGGTATTTAATAGGAACAAAAAATCTGCCAACGTTATGATCAGCTCATGGAGGCTTGGGAAAAAAAAGTGGACAGAATTGAGAATAATCCACGGAGGAAAGCTAAAGAAAGCAAAACAAGAGAGTACTATGAAAAGCAGTTTCCAGAAATTCGTAAACAAAGAGAACAGCAAGAAAGATTTCAGAGGTGAGTAGTTTTTTGTTTTCTTTGTGCCTGGGGGTAAGTGCTTTATCACTGAGGTAGGTACCATTTCCAGATGAGTTGAAGTTTAATTTGTTGTGATTTTTATTTCAAGTCAGTTTTCTCTTAATTTCTCTTGTTTCCTGATGTTAATCAGTAGGAATGTGCATAAATAACTTCCTGTGAATTTAAAACGTTATTACCAACCTATGAAGATTATATCTTAGTGAATTTAACATTATTATTTTTTTTTTTTTTTTTGGTCCGGTCGTGGGGCCTGAACTGGCCTGGGCGCTGTCCCTCAGCTCTTCAGCTCAAGGCTAGCGCTCTACCACTTGAGCCACAGTGCCACTTCCGGCTTTTTTCTTTTTTGCTTATGTGGTGCTGAGGAATCGAACCCAGGGCCTCTGGCATGCAAGGCATGTGCTCTACCACTGAGCCACCTTCCCAGCCCCTAACATTAATTTTTGTGCTTAACTGTTGTGGTTTTTTTTTTTGCCAGTTGTGGAGCCTGAACCCTGGGCCTGGGTGCTGTCCCTCAGCTCTTCAGCTCAAGGCTAGCGCTCTACCACTTGAGCCACAGCGCCACTTGCGGCTTTTTCTGCATATGTGGTGCTGAGGAATCGAACCCAGGGCCTCATGCATGCAAGGCAAGCACTCTACCACTGAGCCACCTTCCCAGCCCCCTTAACTGTTGTGTTTAATGTAATGAATATTTTGAAATTAATTCTTCAGCTCTTGAAATTATTACTGTGAACATGACAGTTGATAATATAATCAAACATTAAATTGGTTTCTAATTAAGAAATTCTAGCCAGGTGCTGGTGCCTGTAATCCTAGCTACTCAGGAGGCTGAGATCTGAGGATCACAGTTCAAAGCCAGCCTAGGCAGAAAAGTCTGTGAGACTCTTCAATAAACTACTCAGAAATAGTCAGAAGTGGCTCTAGTGAGTGAGCACAGAGAAGCTCAGGGACAGAGCCCAAACCCTGAGTTCAAGCTTAATAGGGACAGAGCCCAAACCCTGAGTTCAAGCTTAATAAGAAAGAAAGAAAATGAAAAAGAAATTCTTTGAATTGTTATCCTCAGATTTTAGCCGTCTGAATAGAAAGGATTATAGAAGTGGCCCTGCTGCTTGCTGTACTTTTAAAAGTTTAATTGACCTGTTGTTTAGAACACAGGCAAAACTGCTTCTTGAAAAGGAAGTGGCATCAGTAACTCATTTTTTCCCCAAGCTTCCTATATTTAGTTACACCATTTTTAACTTGAACATTTAACTTTTAAAATCTCCATCTTAGCATTTAAATAGTTAATAATGTAACTGGTAACTCAAGCATATTACTTGAATTTATTCAATAGTATTTTAGGAGGCAAGTGTAGCAGCTCATGCCTGTAATTCTTACTACTCCGGATGGGGAGAGAGATCAAGAGAGTTGTGTTTTGAGGCAACCTGGGGCAAAAAAGTGTGGAAGACTCAATCTCAGCCACTATGACCTAGGCATGTCTATTATCCCAGGTATGTAGGAAGCGTAAATAGGATCATGATCCAGGCTAACCTAGGTAAAAGGAGAGGCCCTGTTTGGGAAAACAACAAGAGCAATAAAGCTGGGGCATGGCTCAGGTGGTAGTAGTGTGTCTGTAGTTAGTGTAAGTCCCTGATTTTAAAATCCCAGTATTGGATCCATCCCCCAAAATAAAACTTTAGTTTTTTTTTCCCCCTGATTTTCAGTTGCTTAGAATCCCATTTTAAAAAGTAATCTATATGGGGCTGGGAAGGTGGCTCAGTGGTAGAACACTTGTCTTGCATGCCTGAGGCCCTGGGTTCCATTCCTCAGCACCACATAAGCAGAAAAAGCCAGAAGTGGTGCCGTGGCTCAAGTGGTAAAGTGCTAGCCTTGAGCTGAAGAGCTGAGGGGCAGCACCCAGGCCCAGAGTTCAGGCACAACAATCGGCAAAAGAAAAAAAAAATCCTGAAAAAAAAAGTAATTTCTATGAATTTAATTGATAATGGTTTCTTTCTAAAAGTTCTTTAATACTTATTTCTCCTTCATATTTAGAGTTGGCCAAAGGGGAGCTGGTCTTTCAGCCACCATTGCTAGGAGTGAGCATGAGATTTCTGAAATTATTGATGGTCTCTCTGAGCAGGAGGTAAGAAAATTAATCAATTCAACTTAGTTTATTACTTAAACATTTCAGCCCGTTAGCCTAGGTTAGTAAGCATTTCTTTGCATGTAAATGAGGGAACTCTGGGTGCTGGAATTTGGACTATTCTAAAGAGTATAGCTAACCATTAAAGGATTTTAAACAAGGCAGTAATGTGATCATATTGATATTTTACAAAGATGTGTTTGGACCACTGGGCAGCACTGGCTCGCACCTGTAATCCTAGCTACTCAGGAGGCTGAGATTTGAGGATCATGTTCAAAGCCAGCCCGGGCAGGAAAGTCTATGAGACTGTTTTCTCCAATAAACCACTAGAAACTTGAAGTGGCATTGTGGCACAAGCGGTAGAGCGCTGGCCTTGAGCTGAAGAGCTGAGGGACAGTGCCCAAGCCCAGAGTTCAGGCCCCACAACTGACCAAAAAAACATCTTTGGAAGCAAGGAAACCAATAAAAAGTTGAGGAGGAAGTTAAAAATAGGGATTTAAAGCTGGGCTCTGTTGACTCACACCTGTAATCCTAGCGTTTTAGGAGACTGAGTTCTGAGAATCACCTTTGGAAGCCAGCCTGGCCAGGAAAATCCCCATGATGCTTACCTTTGATGAACCACCAAAAAAAAAAAAAATACAGGATTGAACCACACATACACACAGCCACCCTCCCCCCCCAACACACACACACACACACACACACACACACACAGCCACCCTCCCCCCCACGGCTCAAGTAGGGTCCAGGTCTGAGTTCAAGTCCTACCACACACACACATGTACATGCATGCGCACACACACCTCTCTAGTTCTTTCCCCTTCTCCCGTCCCCACCACAATCTTATACCTTTCCCCCAAGTCACAGCAACAATGGTTGGGATACTTAGGAGGAGACTGATAATAAAAACTTATAGAATTAGAACGAACAAGATGGATGCATTGAATAAAGGGAAAGAAGAGGAGGATAGGAAGACTCCTGGTTTCTTTGTTGGAACACTGATTTGGGAGCCATTTCTTCAGATAGCACAGAAATACATGCTTTTCAGATGGCAGAATATTTTCTCAAGGGCACTATCTTGTAAGATGAGCCTGAGAGAGTTGAATTGCAGATTAGGTATCACAGTCTTCTGTGTACACATGAAATTGTCTCAGTTGAAGTAAAAGGCTAATTCAGAATGAGAAAACACTTGCAGAATATATTATTTTGACTTTATGCATTTTATTGACTATCAAGAATAGAATTTAATAAATTATAAAACAAATATTAGAGACTAGGATAGACATTTAAAGAATACATAATCCAGGCCAAACAGCAATTTTGCCACATGAAATACACTGTTTCCCAAAAGATAAGAAGCAGCTTGTCAGTCTCATTTTATATTTATTTCTTTTATGTATTTGTTTTCTTTATTATAATCAGCTTGAGTATTGTATTCATGAATATGGTTATTATACTTTTAGGACTATCAAACAAATTAAAAATAATAAATTTCAAGCGGGGTGCCAGTGGCTCACACTTGTAATACTGTCTACTCAAGTGACTGAGATTTGAGGGCTGAGGTTCAGAGCCAGCCGGGGCAGGAAAGTCTGAGTTTTTTTTTTTTTTTTTGGTTCGTCATGGGCTTGAACTCTGGGCTTAGGCACTGTCCCTCAGCTCTTCAGCTCAAGGCGAGCACTCTACCACTTGAGCCATAGCACCACTTCTGGTTTTCTAGCGTTTTATTGGAGATAAGAGTCTCACGAACTTTCCTGCTCAGGCATTGAACTGTGTTCCTCAGATCTCAGCCTCCTGAATAGTTAGGATTACAGGTGTGAGCCACTGGCTCCCGGCTAGTCTGAGATTTTTATCTCCAATTAACTACCAAAAAGCTGGAAGTGGAGTTATGATGGTAGAGTACCATCTTTGAATGAAAAAGCTAAGGTATAGTATTCTTGGCCCTTAATTCAAGACCTAGTACTTGCACCAGAAAAAAGGAATAAATTTCATTCCCTAACAGTGATTCAAACCACCTGTTAAACTTGATTCCAAAGCTATCTACTTTTTATTGAGCATTACTAGTTTTAATTTTAATTTAAATTTAATTACTAGTTTTAATTGTTCTCAAATTTCTATAGGTTTTGTTTTAATTTTTGTGGTTATCCCCATAAATAATGACCAAAGATAATTATTAGAGTCAGATTATTCAAAATAAATGATACATATAAATGAATAAATACATAGTGTAAATTTCTAAGGGCAGGGATTTTTTTGAGGATTTAAATATGTAAATATTTTAAATTGATTTAATTTAAAATAGTTTTGAAAGATTTAGACATAATTTGATAAGTGAAGCAGTGGTATCTGACTGAGTCCACGGACCGGGTTCTGTTGGGACGACGGAGGACACCTAGGGGAGGAACCTGGAATAGGATGGGGAGATGGCAAACAGACAACTCACACACATTAGGAATGGATGCTGAGTGCTGAGTGCTGAGTGCGATTTAATGCAGAGGATAGCAAACTTTTATAACAGAAGTCTCCATAAGAAAGGGCAAAAGGTTACACAATCTTGCTGCATGGCTTCATTCTTGGGGGGTCACCAGCTGGTCGCCTGAAAGGGCAAAAGGTTACACAACCTTGCTGCAGGGCTTCATTCTTGGGTGGTCACCAGCTGGTCGCCTGATAGGCACTTGTTTCTGGCTTATCTCTAAGAAATATGATGGGTTTTGATGTTTGTCACCAACTAACCATTACCTTATTTCTATAGAGGCCTTAACTGTCCCATAAGATCTTTTCTGTTCCTTCTTTAATAGTAAACACCAAGGAGACTTAGATCTAGCAAGTCTCTTAGCAAATGAAAGAGTAATAGGAAGTTCTTTCTCCTAAGTAGTTATCTCAGTAATTGCCATACATTCCTTCTGTTCTAGTTGCCCTACAGCTTCTTGTAAATCTCTTACAAACAATTCCTTCTGCTGAAGTGACTTTGTGAAACCCCCAATACTTTTATATTTACTTATGGCTTGTCTACTAGCCTCCATAAGAGGGGTTTTAGGGTAGCACTTAACTCTGGTGAGTTAGTCATATTTTTAAGACACTCATCAGATATTGGAGTCGTCAACACTCTTAAGAAAGAGCTTTGTATAAGGAAACGTTGACAATGAGCAAGTACAAAGAGCAGTAGAAAAGATAGGCAGAAACACATCTTTCCCAGGGGTTTGCCAGCCTTTTTCCAGGAGTAGGCCTCTTAGAAGCCCTATTCTCCGAGGTAGACTTCGGTGAAGTCCCAAAACTCAGAGATAGGTCTCTGAAGCCCCTATCATGGTCTGATAGATGGTTTCTCATGCTAAGCATACTCCACTGGAGTCAGCGTGGCAACTGAGTAGCTATAATCCTAGCTAATTAGGATGCTCAGACCTGGAGGATTGTATTTGTAGTTAGTCTGGGCAGAACAGTCCACAAGACTCAATGTCCAATTAACTAGCAAAGAGCTGGGCTGGGCGGCTCAGATGGTAAAGTGGCATCTGAGTGTGCAAGAGCCATGAGCCTCTGAATTCTCTAGCCTCACTACTAGCCAAGAATTTAGATAAATCAAATTTTTGTAATTGTACTGTGTACCACATTTAAAACAAAAAGCAGTGTCATGATTTTTTTTACTAGTCCTGTGTACGGGGTGTGTGGGCGCGCACACTTATGTGTGTATGCATACATGTATACATGTCATCCTGGGGCTACTGTCCAATATTTTTTTGTGCATATTGTTTTGGATTGTGATGAGTTAAATACAAGTTTACTTTTTTGAGGAGGACAAGTTTTTTAGATAATTTCTGTGATAAAAATAGATGCTTTCATGACAACATTATTTCAGAATTCTTATCACTAACCCTAGAGCGGGTAGAAAATTGTGCACAATACCCAAGACTCTTAAGAACTACTTTAGGTCTTAGGTTGTTGAACTGATCCACATAAACTTTTACAGATTACCCCACTCCCATCCCTTTTTTCCCCACCCCCAACCCCCTTTTCCTACTCTGCTTCCCCAAAGGGATGATAGAATGGTTTTTGGTCTTTAAGAGAATTATAGAGACATATCTCACATACTGAGGGACAACTTTACACGTTTTTATGTATCGTTACATAATGTTGAGTTATCCATTTCTACTGCTACAATTGAGCTTAAATTTAAGATCTTCATAGTAGATTGAAGATACATCAGCCCCAGAGTTCTGATATCTTCTGTTCTTTTCTGAGCTTATCCTTCCTCTTCCCTCCATGTTCTGCCTTACCCCTCCCCTCCCCTCCCCTCTTTGTGTGTGTGTGTATGTGTGTGGGCATGGACATGGACATGGGCATGGGCATGTGCACATGCTTGAACTCAGGGCCTGGATGCTGTTCCTGATTTTGTTTTTCCTCAAGGCTATTGCTGTGCCACTTGAGCCACAGCTCTACTTCTGGCTTTTTGGTGGTTAATTGGAGGTAAGAGTCTCAAGGACTTTTCTTCCTGGGCTGGCTTTGAACTGTAATTCTCAGATCTCAGTCTCCTGAGTAGCTAGAAACAGGTATGGGCCACTGGTAGTCAGCAAGTTATTTTTTAGAATGAAACATTTTGTTATGTTCTCATCCTTATAAGTAACTTACTTTGTGAGTCATTTAGCACAGTGTCTGTAGAGTAAATTGGTGTTACTTTTTGCTAGGCTCGGTGCCATATACTTCTTTTGGTATACATATACACACATATATACATACACACACACATATACATACATATACACACACATTGGTTGTCTTTGGAAAATTTAACACAAACCAGGAGTACCTTAATGTATGTAATTCCTATGATTAGAGCAAATGAACTTTTTTTTATAGCATATATTGAGTAATTTCACTTATTCTATATCACATTTGAAATTACTTTTAAATTCGTGATTAAAATGAAATGAATCCTGTGGAATTTGTAGAAATAATTTCTTTCATCATGAGTAAATCTGTGTTAAGTTTCTTTGCTTCCTTTCCTGCAGATTTCATTAATGGACACCTGGAAGCATTTTTTTTTTTTCGGTTTATCAGTTGAGGTGATTTTATGCTAATATGTCTCTTTCAAACATTGGTATTCAAATTGATTGGAGTATCTCATGAAATTGGAGACTTTGTAAGACTTGACTAGAAGGAAATACATACCTATCTATAAGCAGAATTTTTAAAAAACAACCCTTGTCTTGTATTTGAGTAAACATTCATAATTTTGGTAAAACGTTTTTTCATGAAAACATGCTTTAAAACACCCTAAATTATGATGTGGCAAATAAGTCATACACATACATAGATTTGAAATCAGCATAATTCTAAGGATAACAGTCCTAATTTTTTATTGGAATTTAGGAATACCTATAGTTACATAAGTTTAGGTTACATAATATTAATACTTTTAATTTTTTGGTCTGTTTGCTTGTTTTTGCATTTATTGTTCTATAAAACGAGCTTAGATTTGTATGCTAAGATGATGAGAGAGTGTGTGTGTGTGTGTGTGTGTGTGTGTGTGTGCGCGCGCACGCGCGCGCCAATTGTAGGGCTTGAACTCAGATCCTGGGCACTGTGCCTGAGTTTTTGTGTACAAGCCTCATTCTCTACCACTTTGAGCCACAGCTCCATTTGCTGGCTTTTTTGGGTAGCTAGTTGGAGATAAGAGTTTTATGACTTCCTGCCTGGGTGGCTTTGAACTGTAATTGTTAAATTTCAATTGATTAGCAAAACTACAGGTATGAGCCATCCCTTAGAGTAAGAGACTAGTTTCTTTTTTCTTTTTTTGCTGGTTGTGGGGGCCTGAACTCTGGGCCTGGGCATTGTCCCTCAGCTCTTTAGCTCAAGGCAAGTGCTCTACCACTTGAGCCACAGCACCAGTTGCGGTTTCCTGGTGGTTAATTGGAGGTAAGAGTCTCATGGACTTTCCTGCTGGGGCTGGCAAATCTCAGCCTCCTGAGTAGCTAGGATTACAGGTGTGAGCCACTAGCTCCTGGCAAGACTAGTTTCTTTTTTGTTTTGTTTTTTTTTTTTGGTCCAGTCGTGGGCCTGAATTCTGGGCCTGGGCACTGTCCCTCAGCTCTTCAGCTCAAGGCTAGTGCTCTACCACTTGAGCCACAGCGCCACTTCCGGCTTTTTTCTTTTTGCTTATGTGGTGCTTAGGAATGGAACTCAGGGCCTCAGGCATGCAAGGCAAGCACTCTACCACTGAGCCACCTTCCCAACCCCAAGACTAGTTTCTTAATGAAGCTTTTGTGATAATTAAATGCTTCATAAAATCACTACTTCGCCAGGTGCAACTCTACCATTTGAAGTATACCTCCACTTCTCTTTTTGCTGGTTAGTTGGAGAGAAAAGTTTCACAGACTTCCCTTTGGTGGGGTGGCTTTGAGCTATGATATTCATATCTCAGCTTCCTTAGTAGCTAGGATTATAGGTGTGAACCCTAGATTGTGTTTCTTTTTAATGTCTATTAAGAATTCTGTGGCTCTTTTAAAATTTCTCATTTAAATTTTAAATTACATATATTTTGTTTTATTTTCAGAATAATGAGAAGCAAATGCGACAGCTGTCTGTGATCCCACCTATGATGTTTGATGCTGAACAAAGACGTGTCAAGTTCATTAACATGAATGGTCTTATGGAGGACCCTATGAAGGTTTACAAAGATAGGCAGTTTATGAATGTTTGGACTGATCACGAAAAGGAAATCTTTAAGGACAAGTAATTTAAAATTTAAATTATTCTCTAATAGAAGTTAGCAATTAAACTGTTGCCACAAAACTTTTTTTCATGAGAATATTGATATTCCAAAAGTTTATAGGTGTGAAAATTGGCAACAGAGATCAGTACTAAGAATGTGGACTGATTTTTTTTAAGAGAAACTCCCAAACTTGGGTGCTATTGGAACACTTAAATGTCCTTTTTTGTTGTTGCTTTTTGGGAGGGGAGGAGAGACAAGACTCAGAATATAACCTAGGCTTATCTTTAACTCAATCTTCTTTTCCTACCTCCATACCCCAAATTCTGAGATATGGATTAGCTTGGGGAGGTCTTTAAAGGTACAGATTTTGCCAGGTGTTAGTGGCTCATGTCTTTAAGCCAGGAGATTGAGATCTCAGGATCATGGTTCAAAGTCAGCCTAGGCAGGAAAGTTGTGAGTATCTCCAATTGATCTCAAAAAACTAAAAATTCTAGAAGCAGAGCTGTGGCTCAAGTTGTATAGTGCTAGCCTTGAGCACAAAAGCTCAGGAACAGTATTCATGCCCTGAGTTCAAGCCCTAGAACTAGTACCAAATTAAAAAAAGTACAGATTTCTATGATTTCATGTTACATAGATTGATCATTTCCTGTTGGATAGTTCCCAGGACCCTACCTTTGATTTATAGTTGTTAATCAAAGAACCACTGGGAATTAGTCTATATATAATATTACTTTATTGCAGTTTTCATTTTTAAACTTTTAAGTTGTAAAATGTTTGCATATATGTTTTTGCTTTTCTGCTACTCAGGTTTATTCAGCATCCAAAAAACTTTGGACTAATTGCATCCTACTTGGAAAGGAAGGTAAGAAATAGTTTTGTTGAGAATGTTTTATTGTAATGATATTACTTTGGAGTTTCTGTACTTTTATAAGAAACAGTAGTTAGAGCTGATTTTGTAAAGTACTTGATACAGAAAAAATTCTCATTACAATTACTAATTATAATCATTTAAATTATATGAGAAATCCTAAGCCCAGAGCTAATTTTCATGGTTCATGACATGATCTGATCTTATGTATTAAAAATATTGCTTACTGTCTGGTGCCAGTGGCTCACACCTATAACTCTAGCTACTCATGAGGCTGAGATCTGAGGATCGCAGTTCAAAGCCAGCTGGGGCAAGGAAAGTCCGTGAGACTCTTATCTCTAATTAACCACCAGAAAACCTGAAGTGGCCCTATGGCTCAAGTGGTAGAGCACTCACCTTGAGCTGAAAAGCTCAGTGACAGCACCCAGGCCCAGAGTTCAACTACCACCACTACCAACAACAAAAATTGCTTATTGTGTTTTATTCAAGTAAATTTCCTCTGATTTTTTTTCCTATTGTGAACTGGCGTTGATGTTTTTGAGCAAAATATTTCAAAAGAAATTTTGAATATTATATGTAGTAGAAATTAATTAGAAAGTTAAGAAAATACTTGAATATATTTTGGTAGTTTGTATCTTAAGCATAATTTAAATTTAGGCAAGTGTACCTGTCTATTAAAGCAGTAAATATACGTGTTAATAGAACTTAGATCTGCCTTAAAGTATTGGCCACATAAGTATTCTTTTAACATAGACTAGGAGTACCAGAAAATTTCCATGAAAGTTGTCTTTCATTAAAGATATCTTTTATTTCACTGCATCTTCAAAGAAACTTTTTCCTTACAGAGTGTTCCTGATTGTGTTTTATATTATTATTTAACCAAGAAAAATGAGAATTATAAAGCCCTAGTAAGAAGGAATTATGGAAAACGCAGAGGCAGAAATCAGGTGTGTTGCATTACGTTGTGATGTTTTTGGGTTGATAAAAATATGAAGATAAACATTAAAACTGGAGTTTCATTCTTGATATGTGTTTTAGAGATTGATATTTCTGTTATTTAAGATGTATCCCTGTAAGCATTAGTTTGAAGTGTATTCTGAATGTAATTTCTGGTGTGATAGATTGTTACATATTTTTCTACATTCATGTCTTTGGAATCATATACCTTAGTGTTAGTACATAAAATTATACATGAGAACTTTAGTACCTTATCTAATGTATCATCTTTAACTAGTCTTTTTTTTTTCTGAGACAGAAAAGTAGACTGTCCAATAGAGAGTATAACTAGAATAGAAAATTGTTTACCAAAATGTCCAAGATCAAATTTTATTTCAGATTAACCTCATTTGTGGAATTTAGATATATTAACCTTTAGAAAATACTTTATCTGAGGAACAGTTTTTCATAAATATAGATGTTTACAGTTGGAATTCCATTGTTTCAAATCTGTTCACCCCAAAATAACCAGTGAGCAGCTGTCATACTTCTGTGTGTGCAATTAGAGGGGCTGCTGCTGTAATGCCCATGCCATTGCCTATTATTCTGTTTACCCTGGTAGATGGACTTGAATGGATGTATGAACTCTGACAGCTGCTATTACCATTCTTAGTCTCTTCTGGTCTCCCCACACAGGAACCCTTTCAATTAGTAGGTTCTTATTATTTCCTTATCTTGAGAACCATAGCCACCAAATATAGATTTCTTTCTTTCTTTAATTTATTTTTATGCCAGTCCTGAGGCTTGAACTTTAGGGCCTGGGTGTTGTCGGAGCTTTTTTTTTTTTCCACAAGGCTAGCATTTTACATTTTTACCAGTTGAGCCACAGCTCTGCTTCAGAAATTTTGTTGATGAATTGGAATTACGAGTCTTATGGACTTCCCTGCAATCAACATAGGTATACAGGTATCTTTCTTGTATATTGATTTACTCTGTCAGTAATAGTGGTATGGCAGAGTTACAGGGAAGGTTTACTTTTGAGGAACATTCACACTGATCTCCATAGTGGTTGTACTAGTTTATATTGCTACCAACATCATATGAGGGTTTCTCTCTTCTCCCCCTCATCTTTGCCAGTATTTCAGATAGAGATTTGTTGGACTCAGTTTACTCATTATTCAGAGTCATAACTTTAAAAAAATATTTCCTTCAAACAGTACCTCTTCATTACATACGATTATATGGTCTTTGGAAATAGTATTTCTTTGTTAAAAAAAAAAGTATAGGGAGACCGGATGTGATAGTACATGCCAATAATCCTGGCACTCAGATGCTGAGGCAGGGGGAATCACAGTAAGGTCAAAAATTCCCCAGCCGTATATTATTTTCCTTATTAAAGGTGTCTGGAACATTGATTTACTTCTCTCCTAAACTTCTCTCCTAAGCACATGCATGCCTATTAAGTTTCAGCCTTATCAGCACTTTTATATTCTTGTTTAACATTTCATTGTACTATAATCCTCTGTGTGAATTTACAGGGCTGAGATTTGCTACTTTTACCCTCATCTTGACCCAGTGGTAGGTGTTTACTCCTGGTGGGGTCAGGTTTGGTTTGTTCAGCCCTTCCATTAGTTTAGTCCTTCCCTTAATAGATCTTTCTTCCATTTTGCTGTCTTTTTCCTTTCCCTTTTCCCTTTCCTTTCCTTTCTTTTCCTGCCCTGTCCTGCCCTGTCCTTTCCTGTCCTTTTTCCTTTCCTTTCCTCTTTTTTCTAATTCACTGGGCATTTGGGAGAGGTGGGAATTAAATGATGGGCTTAGACCACTATCTGAGACCAAAAGATTCTCATTTATGTTTCTTTAGTGCCCATGTACTTCATTCTATTTGTATCAAAATAAATGGGCAGTTTTTCAGAATGAAAAGGTCTTAGTTTTAAGGACTCTCCTGTGTAAAACCAAATTCACTAAAGATAGACCCCATGAGAAGATAAAGTTTTTAATGAAAGAATAATTTCAGATTCTGTCATTACTTAATCATTCTGGATGATGTAGTGGATTATAAGGAAACAAATCAAGAAGTGGGAAGACCAGTTAGGGAGTGGTTACAATCTGAATGGGTTGGACAAGATTCTAGGGGAGAGTTCAGGAGAAATATTGTTTTGAAGGGGTGTGTGTGTGTGTGTGTGTGTGTCTGTGGTGATATTTTTAGTTTTTGTTTTTTCTTTCTCCTTCTTCCAGTGGAGCTGTGGATAACACAGCATATGCTAGACAAATGTTCTGCCACAGGTATTTGAAGGTAGAAGTAAAACCAGTGGGTTTTGTTGATGTTGACTGTGGAAAAATGAAAGGCATTATTGGGGACAACATCAAATGTTTGCTTGTGGAATAGCCATTATGACAGAAGAGTAGATTTATGATATGTCTAAGTTTCAGAGAACAGGAAGAGATCCAAATGAAATGTTTAAGTGGAATGCATAGTTAAATGTATAGGAAAAAGATCTAAATTGGAGATGTGGAAATTTTGTTTTTTTGCCCCAGTCATGGGGCTTGAACTCAGCACCTGGGCACTGTCCCCGAGCTCTTTTTGCTCAAGGCTAGCCCTCTACCACTTTGAGACGTAACTCTACTTCCAGTTTTCTGGTGTTACTTGGGAGATAAGAGTCTCACAGGCCTTTACTACTCTGGCTGGCTTTGAACCACAGTCCTCACATCTTAGCTTCCTGAGTAGCATAAGCCACTGGTGCCTACCTAGAGATGTGAAATTTTTGAGAAAAGATTTCATTTTTCAAGGAGAATTTAGTTTAAAAGTGAAAGTAATCTGAGCTGGTTGCTGATGGCTCACATTTGTAAGCGTTGGAGCCTGAGATCTGAGGATCACAGTTCAAAGCCAGCCTAAGCAGAAAGGTCCATGAGACTTATCTCCAATTAACCACAAGAAAACTAGAAGTGTTGTGGTGGCTCAAAGTGGCAGAGTACCAGCTTTGAGTGAAAAGCTCCTCAGAGGCAGGGCCCAGGCCCTGAGTTCAAGTCCCAGGACCAACAAACAAAAATCTGAACCAGTGTGGTGGCTCAAACCTGTAATGTTAGCTACTTGTGTGAGTACAGTAGTATATGCCTGTCACTTTCAACATCACATGGAAGCATGTGTAGATGGATCAAATCCCAGGCTAGCCTGAACCTGAAGTAAGATACTACTTGAAAATAACACAGAAATGTTCTTGGAAATGGCTCAAGTGGTATAGTACTTGCCTAGCAAGTGTGAGGTCCTGAGTTTATACCCAAAGTACTGCCCAAAACAAAAATGTCTGTCAACCCTCTTGACTTTACCCTGATATGATTAGTGAATTTGGAGGTCACTTTACTGCTCTATTATTCAATTATTCAATGATAGCGACCATAGCACTTTTACTAAAGGAAACTCTTGAGTTCTATTGAAGTTCTGCTTGATCCTTTCAGTGCTTTTTTATTGTATTCCCACCTCAGCTTCTGCTAGAAAGAATAGTTTTCAGTCAGCAGAAGGAAGTATAAATTGGTGTTTATTTTTGCCAGACCTGGGGCTTGAACTCAGGGCCTGGGCACTGTCCCTGAGCTTCTTTTGCTCAAGGCTAGCACTCTACCACTTGAGCCACAGCACTACTTCTGGCTTCTTTTGTTTATGTGGTACTGAGGAATCAAACCCAAGGCTTCATGATGCTGGGCAAACACTCTACCACTAAGCCACATTCCCAGCTCATTTGCTGTTCATTGACTGAAAGATTCATTCTAAATTTGTGAAGTTTTCAGTTTTTTAAGGTGCTGTTGCTGAAGATGTTCTTTCATTATTCTGACAATGAAGCTTTAATCTTTATCAGAACTACAAAGTACTCATATTTGTAAAAATTGTGTTCAGATATTATTTGCAGAAAATTTAACTTTTCTTTATTCTATTTCAAAGCTATTTTAGTTCTACTTGTTAGTATCCTATAAGACTGAGTTTTTTTGTTTTTTGGTTTTTTTTGTTTGTCTGGTTTTTTTGCGTCTGGTCGTGGGGCCTGAACTCTGGGCCTGGGCGCTGTCCCTCAGCTCTTCAGCTCAAGGCTAGCTAGCGCTCTACCACTTGAGCCACAGCGCCATTTCTGGCTTTCTTTTTGCTTATGTGGTGCTGAGGAATCGAACCCAGGGCCTCATGCATGCAAGGCAAGCGCTCTACCACTTGAGCCACCTTCCCAGCCCCTGAATGCAATTCTTATTTTATATTACTACTATCTTTGATGGCATTGGGTTTGAACTCAGGATCTCAAGCTTTGTAGGCAGGTCTTCTTGGTTGAGTCATTTCCTCAGCCATCTTTTACTTTAGTTATTATTATTTTTTGTTGGTTGTGGGGCCTGTACTCTGGGCCTGGGCACTGTCTCTCAGCTCTTCAGCTCAAGGCTAGCACCCTACCACTTGAGCCACAGCGCCACTTCTGGCTTTTTTCTGCTTATGTGGTACTGAAGAACCTAACTTAGGGCCTCGTTCATGTGAGGCAAGCACTCTACCACTGAGCCACCTTCCCAGTCCACTTTAGTTATTTTTTAGATGGAGTTTCTAGGTTTTACCTGAAATGGCTGGCCTTGGATCATGATTCATAATTCTCTTACTAATGGCCTTTAGATAGCTGAAGTCTTGATTATTTTTTTCTTGGGCTGCCCAAGAGCTGTGATGCTTCTGATGTCTATCTCCTGAGCAGCTGGGATTACAGGTACAAGCCACTATGCTTGGCCTCTCTATATATTAGTAAAAGCAGTTCCCATTTGAAGCTAAGGATTATTCTCTTTGTTGCAAAGATTAGTGAGCCAGGTGGTAAAATCATGTATCCCTTTTAGAGAGTGAGTATGAAATGAGTAAACTCATAAGAGAAAATTGTCATAGATAGACTGAAATGTGAAAAAGTATATTCACTTTAAATCTTGCAGTTTAATAGTGTTCTGGAAGAGGCAATAAAGACCAAGCAACATATAGATTTTTCTTCTGTACAGATTAACAATAAGACATAATGTAGTTTTTCTTTAGGGGAGGCCATTAAGGCTTTCTGTATTTTAAGGAACAAACCAGGTCTTAGTTTTGGTGAGCAAGTACAACACTTTGTGAACCTGTTAAAAGTTAAAGGAAGAGCTGGGCACCAGTGACTCTTGCCTATAATCCTAGCTACTCAGGATGCTGAGATTTGAGGATCACAGTTTGAAGCCAGACTGGGCAGAAAAATCTGTGAGACTTTTTATCTCCAATAAACTATTCAGAAAAAGCCGTAAGTGGCACTGTGGTTCAAGTGGAAGGGCACTTGCCTTGAGTACAAAGAAGCTAGGGGACCGTGCCCAGACCCTGAGTTTGAGCCCAAGGATGGGAGGGAGAGGGGTGGTGCAGGAAATTTTACTTAAAAGAATTGAGTTACTTTTATGTTGTCTGCTAAAGGGAACAGATAAGACAGGTAGATTGTTAGGAGGCAAGATTGACGTTGGGGTGGGAGGACAACGCTTTTCAAAAATCCAGAAAAAAAAATATATATTCTGGTGTGGCCAGATCCTCTCATAGGAGATGAGTAAGATTGTTCTTAGTGGGATGATAACACCGTGAGCCTGACTGTTGTTGATAACTAGGTACTAGGTCACTGAATGGTAAGTGCTGCTGGAAGGTGTAGAATACAGTAGAGAGGGAAGGAGATGGAGCCCAATTTCATCTGTGACCTCACAAAAGGCGTTTTGAAATAATCCTTAGGAGCTATCCAAGTTTACCAGGCAAGGAAAGGCAGAGAGGAAAGTATGCCAGGGAATGGCATGATATATTTAAGGCATCATATGTTTTGGTAAATGCAAAGGCAGCTAAGAAGAACATGGGAAGGATGAGGATATAGGGAAGTATAATCAGGCCAGCAGTTTTGTGATAAAGATGTATTGGAGTTTTATCCTCACTAATTAATGTTTTACAATTTTAATTTATGAACTAAATTAAAAAATACTATGCAGGATGAACTTAATTTCACTTTTTTTCTTTTAAAGTCAATTTTAGTAAATGCAATATCAAAAAGGTAAAAAAGTCCATAACCCAGTTTCCCATTGATTGTCTAATGATAACCCTTTCTTCACTGATCTCTCTCAAACTTTTTCTACATACATGTTTGTATGATTGTTATTTCAGCTTAGAATTGAGTGGTTTTTTCACTTTCCTGTATTTTAAATATTTTCCTAACTGACTTCATTTTTAATAATGACCATAGCTGTCATTATCTTCATTAAATGGATGTTCCATGAAAGTATAAAGCATAATGATGTTACTTTTAATGCTGATAATGATGTAAAAAATTGAGAACATATTGTGTCTAATATTAGAGATAGTTTAAAGAATTATAGATGAGTCATCAAATTTTAAAGTATAATTAGAATGTTTGAATGAAATACTAAATAGTAGTTACAAAAGAAAAGCACCAACCTCAGGTTTCTAGTGAAATAGTAATATTTTCATCTTTCTGATAGGCCCAAGCAATATGAACATTTTATGTGTGTGTGTATATTTGTGTAGTACCTTTTAAGTAGCATATGTGAAATACATTAAGAAACAATGTACAAATTTTAATGCTTGACCACCAATTATATTGTAAATGATTAATGATTTTTAAATAATAGAGATGGATATTATAATTTAACATTACAACTTACACTATTTCTGGTACCTATGTATATGACAAATGTTTTCTAGCAGCAAATTGCCCGTCCCTCACAAGAAGAAAAAGTAGAAGAGAAAGAAGAGGATAAAGCAGAAAAAACAGAAAAAAAAGAAGAGGAAAAGAAAGATGAAGAAGAAAAAGATGAGAAGGAGGACTCTAAGTGAGTTAAATATTCTTAGATAAGTTAACTTTTAACCAATAAAACAATCTGTTGAAGGCATGAAATACTAGATTTAAAAATATTAGATTTTAAACAATTTGGAGTTGGCCACCCATGGCTCATGCCTGTAATACTTGCCATTCAGGAGACTGAGCCTGAGGATAGTTGTTCAGAGCCAGCCCAGGCAGGATAGTTTGTGAGACTTTTATCTGCAGTTAACTGCCAAAAAAATGCTGGAAGTAGAGCTGTGGCTCCAGTGGTAGGATGAAAAAGTTCAGGACAGTGCCTAGTCCCTGAGGACTAGCACAAAACAACAACAACAAAATACAAACTTGAGACAGTTACCTTATAAAGAGAATAGGTTTAATTTACCATACTATTTTGTAAGTTTTAGTCCATGATCGGTTAGCTCTTTGCTCTGGGCCTGATGAAAGGTAATACATCATGGCAGGAGCACATAGTGAAACAAAACCGTATACATCATGGCCAGAAAGTCGAGAGACGGAGAGAGGGAGTGACACTAGGATTCGAATAGACCCTCAACAGCATGCCTCTCCTGACCTAAAGACCTGACACTAACTAGGCTCTGCCTCCTGAAGACCTTATTATCTGCTATACTGCCAACATAGGGACCATGCTTTTAATCCATGGACTTTTGCTGGGGCCATGTAAATCCAAACTACAGCAAGTATGTAATCTTCTCTGTGGTTTCTTGCACTTCACATAAATGGCCTTGAGATTCAGTTAGGTTGTTGCATATATCAATAGTTTGTGGTTTTAAAAAACATTTTAGTCTTAGAAACACTTAATGTTTGCCTTTGTGACAGCTAAAGCTGCCTAGTCACTTAACCTAGTTTTAAGATTCAGACATTCATGCTTTTCTACTTTTGTGCCTTAGGAAAATACATATAAGAGAATTAAAACAAAATTATTTTTTCATTTGAATGTTTATTATATCACATTGGTAAAGTTTTCTTAGTCTATCATCCGGTTACATGGGAAGTAGCTTGATTATAAATGTTTTTGAAACTCCCTTGACAACAATGGATAGGCATGGTGGTGTATGCCTATCATCTTAAGCTATAAGGGAAGCATAACAGCTGGATGAAGGGGGGCATACCTTTTCATTCCAACAAAGGGAAACACAGTTTGGAGGATCACACCGCAGCCCAACTCAGACTTACAGTGCGACCCTATCTAGGAAATAGCCAATCCCCCAAAAAGCTGCCAGTGTGGCTCAAGTACCTGAAAGCCTATGACCTAGAGTTCAAACCCAAGAATCATCAAAGATTTCAAGAAAAGAGCATCTAGGTATGGTGGCTCATACTTAGATTCCCATCTATTTGGAAGATATAGGAGGATTGCCAGTACTGGCAAACAGCAAGTCTTTAAAAGAAAGTTAGATGTGGTCTGTATGTAGTCCCAGCTACCTGGGAGGTTTAGGTACAAGGATCACAGTCTAAGGCCAGCCCTTGACAATGAGCATGAGATTGTATCTAAAAAACAGTTAATGGGGAAGTATTGGGGCATGGCCTTGAGTTCAAAACCCAGAACTGCCAAGAGAAAAAACAATAAATGAAATAAGTAAAAATGGAAATAGCAGACCCACCAGGCACCAGAGGCTCACACATGTAATACTAGTTATTCAGGATCCTAAGATCTGGAGGATTAAATTCAAAGCAGCCTGGATAGAAAAGTTAAGAAAGTGATTAAGTAACTAACAAAGGCTGTAGGTATGGCTTGAATAGTAAAGTGCCAAGAGATCTGAGTTTAAGCCCTAACAACTCTCCTTCCAAAAGAGAGGTGGGAGGAGAAGCATTGAAATGTGTTGGACACTTGAGAAGTGTTTTAGTCCTATGTGGTTGATTGAGAGAACTTTGAATATAAAAACTGTTAAATAAGGGCTAGGAAGGGGCTCAGTGGTAGAGCACTTGCCTTGCATGCATGAGGCCCTGGGTTCAATTCCTCAGCACCACATAAGCAAAAAGAAAAAAGCCGGAAGTGGCGCTGTGGCTCAAGTGGTAGATCGCTAGCTAGCCTTGAGCTGAAGAGCTGAGGGACAGCGCCCAGGCCCAGAGTTCAGGCCCCATGACCGGACCCCCCCCCCAAAAAAAAAAAACTGTTAAATAAGCTTGGTGCCTGTGGCTCACGCCCATAATCCTAACTACTCTGGAGGCTGAGATCTGGGGATCATGTTTCAAAGCTAGCTCAGGCAGGAAAGTCTGTGAGACTCTTATCTCCAATAAACCACTAGAAAACGGGAAGTGGTGCTGTGGCTTAAGTGGTAGAACGCTCACATTGAACTGAAGAGCTGAGGGACAGTGCACAAGTTCAGAGTTCAAGCCCCAGGAATGAAACAAAACAAACAAATTATTAAATGATTAGACAATGAGGTTGAGCAAAAAACCAGAAGTAGTAAGGATGAGCCTGTTTTTTTGGATTTATTGATAGGAAATGGAGGTGGCAGTTGCAGCAGTTGGCTGAGAAATAGGAAGTCATTGAGTAACCCGACAAAGATCCAAGGCTATCTGTATGGGCTTGAGGAAATCCTGTATGAGAGGCTAGAGGAAGAAATTAAGCCTCTAGAAGGAAAGCAAGAGTAATAGCAGGAATATTTTGTGGCTAAACTAAAAAGGAAGAATTGTACACACAGACATTTATAGCAGAAACAATAATGTGATAATTGAGAAAAGGTCATTTTATTTTTCAGTTTGTGATTGATGAGTTTGACAAAACACCTATTTTTGGTAATGCTAGGGATCAAATTCATAAAACAGGAGCTGTAGACTAGAAATTAGTTGATAAGGAAATGAAGAAGAGAAAGGAAAAAGGCACATAGCTTTAATTTAGAACTGAAGGGGGGAGATTTATTATTTTATTTTTGTGCTAGTCCTGGGGCTTGAACTCAGGGCCTGTCCCTGAGCTTCTTTTGCTCAAGGCTAGCACTCTATCATTTGAACCTCAGCATCACTTCTGGCCTTTTCTGTATGTGGTACTGAGGAATCAAACCCAGGGCTTCATGCATGCTAGGCAGATTCCCAGCACAGAATAATTTTTTTAAATATTTTTTTATTGAGATTAGGTGATCACATAAATTTCACATCTTTCACAGTATCGTGGAATAGTGATACTTAAGGTTACAAACACATCTTAACCTTCACAAGGCAAATTGTTATTATTATGGTCTATAAAGTTTGTGAATTCTATAAGCTTTGACAATACAACTATTTCTTCCACATTAGGAGAAGAATAATTTTTGAAGCACTTGTTTTGGGTAAAGAAATCCATAATCTGGGAAATCAGAACAAGTCTTTACTTAAAATAGATAAAACCAGAAAATTGTCATCTTCCATTAAGCATCTTTTTCTTTTGGTTGATCCTGGGGCTTGAAAAATATAACACCTATGAGAGATAAAATAATGTGGAGAGTGGTTGTCCAGTGATTTTTTTTTTTTTTTTGGTCCGGTCGTGGGGCCTGAACTCTGGGTCTGGGTGCTGTCCCTCAGCTCTTCAGCTCAAGGCTAGCGCTCTACCACTTGAGCCACAGCGCCACTTCCGGCGTTTTTCTTTTTGCGTATGTGGTGCTGAGGAATCGAACCCAGGGCCTCATGCATGCAAGGCAAGCACTCTACCACTGAGCCACCTTGCCAGCCCCCAGTGATTTTTTTTTTGTAGTAATACTGCTGTTAATAATTGCTCACATCTTTTAACTTTTTTCCAAGTGGCTGAGACTATGATAAGCACTTTATAACCTAAGAGTTAAGATTTAATAATAACAAACATGCATGGTGTTTACTGTTTCCAAGCATAGTTGTAGGTACTTGATACAAATTAACTCCTTAATCGTCACAACTGTTTTATGAATTATATTATCACTATATTGTCCAGAGAGGGAAACTGAAATTTTAAAGGCTAGGCAGCTTATCCAAAGAGATCACATGACTAGTAAATCACAAACTTTTGTTTGGTCCAGTCCCATGTTTGCAGGCTCCAGAGATCTTTCTCCTGATCATGAAGCCATACTGCTGTATCTGTACATTATCAGTGTTGGAAGTGGTTGAGAATGCAGAGTATGGCTTACTGAAATGAGATAATACTATGATTATTACTATAGAATAGGCATACATCATGTAGCTTATCTACTTCCATTTTACAGATAAGACATCTTAGGACTTCTTTTGGTGTAGCCCCTGCTTCTTGGCTTTCTTTGGGCATTTCTTATTTCCTTATGAAATGAACTAGGTTTTTTGTGTTTTTGTTCTTTGTGCTTGTTCTGGGGCTTGAACTTGGGCCTGCATGCGCTGCCTCTGTTCTGCTCAAGGGTAGTGCTTGCTCTACAACTTTGAGCCATAGCTTCATTTTTGGCTCTTTTGTAACTAATTAGAAATGAGAGTATCACAGACTTCCTTGTCTAGTCTGGCTTTGAGCCATGATCTTCAGATCTCAGCCTCCTGAGTAGCTAGGATTATAGGCATGAGCCACTGGTGCCCAGAAAATGAGTTAGTTTTTAAGGCAGTTGGCTTGAAATGTATTTTAATTTTAATTTCTGTTTTTTGGTTTTCTTTTTTTTATTGGTTTTGGGGCTTGAAGTCTGGGCCTGAACGCTGTCCCTCAGCTCTTCAGCTCCAGGCTAGTGCTCTACCACTTGAGCTACAGCACCACTTCCTGAAATGTATTTTAATTTTAAATTCATTAATATGCAACAAAGGCCTGTGAACAATGTTAATTTTTTCTAGTCAAAGCTTTTCAGAATTACTGCCCAAGAGATTTTTTCATAATTTTTAAAAGTAATTAAGTTTATTTAATTTCTGTCTAATGAATATTGAAAATTGCATATTTTGGTGATGTATACTTTCAAGTTGCACAAGTTTTCCTTTTTTTTTTTTTGCCGATTGTGGGGCCTGAACTCTGGGCCTTGGTGCTGTCCCTCAGCACTTCAGCTCAAGGTTAACGCTCTACCACTTGAGCCACAGCGCCACTTCCAGCTTTTTTCTGCTTATGCGGTGCTGAGGAATCATACTCAGGGCCTCATGCATGCAATGAAAGCACTCTACCACTGAGATACCTTTGCAGCCCCTTCCTTTACTACTTTTTTTTGGAGGGGAGGGATCGTTTGTGGGGTTTGAACTCTTCCCTCAGCTCTTCAGCTCAAGGTGCACACTCTTTAACACTTGAGTCACAGCACCTCTTCCATTTTTCTGGTGGTTAATTGGAGATGGACTTTCCTGCTCGGGCTGGCTTTCTTTTTGTTGGTCATGGGGCTTGAACTCGGCCTCGGTGCTGCCCCTCAGCTCTTCAGCTCAAGGCTAGCACGCTACCACTTGAGCCACAGTGCCACTTCAGGCCTTTTCTGCTTATGTGGTGCTGAGGAATCGAACCCAGGGCCTTATGCATCCAAGGCAAGCGCTCTACCACTGAGCCACCTTCTCAGCCCCCTTTACTTTTGATTGTAGAGAAAATACCAAGGAAAAGGACAAGACTGAAGGTACAACAGAAGAAACTGAAGAGAGAGAGCAGGCTACGCCCCGGGGACGCAAGACTGCTAATAGCCAAGGTCGCAGAAAGGGACGAATAACCAGGTCCATGACAAATGAAGCTGCAGCTGCTATTGCTGCAGCTGCAGCAGCCACAGAAGAGCCCCCACCACCTCTCCCACCACCTGCAGAACCTGGTGAGTGCAAAGAATTGGCAAGAGCAGACTAGTTATTTGGGATGCTTTTTCAATGCAGGGCTGTAGCAAGGACCACTGAAATTTGCCACCTAGATACAGTTGCTGAAGTTTGGTACTAAAATGTAAACTTGGGGCTCACTTGGTTGATAGGTTCTGTAATGCTTAAGCCATACTCCTCCTACTCCTTTTTGCTTTTATTTTCAGATATGATCCCCTTTTTGTCCTGGGTTGACTTCAGACCCAGATTTTTTCCCTCTTATCCTTATAGTTGGGATGATGCATATTCGCCATGCCCAGCTTATTTGTAGAGATGGGGTTCTCAATGACTTTTGGCTCAGGCTAGCCTTGAATTGAAGTACTCCCAATCTCTGCCTCTATGAAGTTGGGATTAGAGGTAAGCCACTGTGCCTGGCTAAAGTATGGTATTTAAACTTGAAATCAAAGTATTTTCTAGAAGAATAATAACTGTAATGTTGCATCCCTTATATAACTCTTTTTATTATTTACTTAGTTGGTATGTATCAAAGATTTTCTAATCCCTGTCATTTCTATTAAAATTTTTTCAAAACATTTTATTATTGAGGTATGACAATCATTTCACTATTGCTCAGTTAGTTTGCTCAATTAGCTTGTCAATTAGTTTTTTTCTAAACCAATACATACAACTTTATAATGTAAAATCTTTTTGAACATAGCATTTTCTTTCTGTTACTTTTTATAGGAATCAATTCTTAGACAAAGGTATACTAAGTATAAGAATTGAAATATGTTTCTCTTTTCTTACAAAGTTTTATTATTAGCCTATAAAAGCAACTATGGCCAGGTACTGGTGGCTGATGCTTGTAATCCAAGCTACTCAGGTCGCTGAGCTCTGAAAATCGTAGTTTAAAGTCATCTTGGGCAGCAAAGTCTGTGAGGCTCTTATCTCCAGTTAATCAATCAAAACCAGAATTGGAGCTGTGGCTCAGGTGGTAGACTTGAGCAAAACGTTCCATACCCAGACCCCAAGGTTAAGCCCCAGGGCTGACCCCCTTTTCAATTAAAAAAAAAAAAGTTTTATGATAAAAGTGCTATCAGTGGTTCAGTAGTATCCGTTTCACAGCCACAGTAGGAAGACAGCATATTCTGGGGACAAGAATGATCTACTTGAACAAGTAGGATCAAAGGCTGGTGGCCTTGTTTGAACTTGCTTTTCTTACATAGAAATAAGCCTGCAAAATTTGTAAATAAAGAAGTGCTCTGATTAGATTTATCTTGTAAAAAGAAGTCTGGTTAAGTATGGCATTCAGGTGAGACAGACTAAGGGCAGGTGTTCTGTGTTTGTTCTTTCTGTGCTGATTGCTAGGCACTGAAGGATGAACAAAAAGTGTAAGGAGAAGAGGAAGTAGATCTGCTAAGCAGGAAGTCACTGGATGAGGTGGGACTTTCTCAGAATACTGAGAGAGAACATGACACTGGGAGACGGTTGGAACTTTTCCATCTACTTGATGCTAGATACCTATGCTAGCCAATTTCCATAATTTCTTTTTTTGGTGTCAGTCTTGGGACTTGAACTCAGTGCCTGGGCACTGTCCCTGAGGTGTTCCTCTCCTTCCCACCTCCCCCTCTGCACTGGCTTGAACTCAGGGCCTCACACTCTCCCCCCCCCCCTTTTCCCCCCCCCCCAGGAGGCATTCTTCTACTTAAACCACAGCTCCACTTGTGTCTTTTTGATGGTTATTTTGAGGTAAAGTCTTACAGACTTTCCTGCCTGACAGGGTCCTCAGATTCCATCCTCTCTGAACAGCTAAGATTATAGGTGTGGGCCACTGGCACAGGGCTTGAATGTTTTTTTTTCTTGTTGTTGGTCGTGGGGCTTGAACTCTGGCGTGGACACTGTCCCTGAGCTCTTCAGCTCAAGCTAAGCTCTCTACCACTTTAGCCATAGAGCTACTTTCGGTTTTCTTGTGGTTAATTGGAGATAAGAGTCTCACTTTTCTGCCAGGGCTGGCTTTGAACCTTGATTCTTAGATCTCAGCCTCCTGTAAAGCTAGGATTACAGGCCTGAGCCACCAGCACCCAGCCAGTATGTTTTTACATCAACTATGTTCTCAATTACATGGTTTGTCTGAATGAGGGTTAACTTAGTTTTCTTAACTGTATTTCTCAGTTTCCACAGAGCCCGTAGAAACCTCTCGATGGACAGAAGAAGAAATGGAAGTTGCTAAGAAAGGTAAATCATAATGGTTCAGACCCTTGGGCTTTTTGTTTTTATCTTTTAAATATTGATTAGTAATGAATGGGATGGAGCTAAGTTTTAAATTGGAAGAATACAATTCTTCCAAAAGAAAATATAGAATTTCAAAATAAGTAATGTAAGTACTCAATAAGTATCCCAGTGTGCCTTAAAATGGCCATATTTTAAGGACATAAGAGATTCTATAGTTTGAACAAGTTTATCCTCTTTTTTTTTTTTTTTCTTTTTACCAGTACTGAGGCTTGAACTCAGGATCTGGGTACTGTTCCTGAGCTTCTTTGTGCTCAAGGCTTGCGCTTTACCACTTGAGACACAGTGACATTTCTGGTTTTTTGCGTCTTTTTTTGGCGATTAGCGTCTCATGGGGACCTGTCTACCCCAGCTGGCTTTGAACCTTGATCCCCATATCTTAGCCAGAGATAATTGTCTTATGGACTTTCCTGCCCAGGGTTGCTTTGTACTGTAGTCCTCAGATCTCAGCCTCCTAAGTAGCTAGGATTACTGCCATGAGCATTCAGCTCCTGGCTTCATACTTTTTGACTAGACTCATCTCAAACCTTGATCCTCTTGACTGTGCCTCCTAAATAGCTGGGATTACAGGTATGAGCCACTGTGCTTGACCTCATTTAAAATCTATTTGCTATAATTGGCATATGCTAAATTTATATAATTAAAAATGATTCACAATTATTCATCAAAATATCATGGTTTAGTAAGTAGATACTAGCTGTATCTTTTTTTCTAGCAAATATACCTATGTAACTATTTATACCTAGTGTTATACATAGTGTTTAGTCACTATTCTTTTGGTGAGATTTGGTAGTGATCTTCCAGTTTTCATTATTAAAGGAAGCTAATTACATTAACCTTAAAAACTGATGTTTGGCCTATAAGTTATTTGTACTGGGAATTACTACTTTTATATACCTGTGTCTGAGGTATATCTTTGTATTGCTCTTTACCTATGTAAATGTACACATACACTTATATTCTTTACATGTGTATTTGTGTGATATACAGCTTGATTATAAAAATCTTGCTTAACTTTTTGTGATCTGTGACAGGCTTTTTAAAAACTAAATCTTTGATGGATTGTTCATAAGTTGACTAACATTAAATGTTAATTATAAATGAAGTTTCATATACTTGAGATTTTGAGGTTGTAGGTGTTTTTTTTTTCTATATTTGGGTGTGTGTGTTTGTGTTTGCTAATAGCAGGTATTGTAACTCTGTAACTTTCTTGTTTGGCTTCCTTGCTCATTGTGTGTGCCCTACCACTTGAGTCAACCTAGCATTTTGCTAGTCTATTGGAGAGTCCAGAAGAGTCTCCAGGACTTTTCTGCTTAAGCTAGCTTCAAGCCATGACCATCCAGGTCTTACCCTCCTCAGTAGCTATGATTACGGGCATGAGCTACTGTGCTTAGCAAAAGTTTGTATTAATCATTGATATTTAGTTGTTCTATTACTGTTTTGTTTCTCTAAGACTGTAAAAGTATCCAGTTATTCAGTTTGTAAGTATATGAACCACCACTATGGGTCTATCATTGTTCTAGTTTTGTGGGAGGTTTATATTAAGGATGAGATTTAGTCCTTCCTGGAATGAGCATGTTTTTGATTTGGGAGAAAAATACAGAGATGTAAATGAGTTTTGTGTTTTAAGTATTTTAATAAATATTGAAGTATATTTTAAAAGTACTTGAAAGCACAGTTTTGTTAAAGATAGTGACTATAACACCTAGGCTGTTTTGTTATTTTTCTTGATTAATTAGGTAGCTGTTAATTAATGCTTGATCTCTTTTTCAAATACAGGCTTAGTAGAACATGGTCGTAACTGGGCAGCAATTGCCAAAATGGTGGGAACTAAAAGTGAAGCTCAGTGTAAAAATTTCTATTTTAACTATAAAAGGCGACACAATCTTGACAACCTCTTGCAGCAACATAAACAGAAAGTGAGTATATTAGAGGTGGTAAGTATTTACTATTTTTTTAACTTCAGAGTGCTTTTGAACTACAGAGAATTGTGTTTGTGTTATATGAGACCTAGTCTCACTGTGTAGTCCAGGCTAGCTCTGAACTCAAGATCTTCCTGCTTAAACCTCTTGAATGCTAGAATTATAAACATCATCAGTGGTTCTTGGCACAGAGCTTGTTTTATATTTTTATTTATGTATTTATCTGTAAGAAGTAGGATAATTTCAAGGGCTAGAAGTCTGACTCAAATAGTAAAGTGCCTGCCTACCAAGTGACAGGATCTGAGTTCAATCCCCCATACTCCCGCTAAAAATAAAATGTTTTAATTTCTCTATATGAGTTAAGTATTGCCTTTTGTATTGCCTTTTGTACTGCCTTTGAAGACTTACATTTTTCATAATAGTATTTCAGTACTTCTGAATTACTATTATCTGGTAAAAAATAGGCATTTTAAAATTTATTTTTGGTAGTATTGTATTGATTATGTTGAATAATTACCAAAACACAGTCCACTCAGATTTGAAGCAAAAAAATCATAATTTTAGGTTTGCTTGGGTTCCATAGTGAGGTCTTGAAGTAAAAGAAATAAACAGTTGTAACAATCAGAGATAGATGTTCAAGACACTATGTTGAAAACAAACTTTACAGCTTCGGGAGGTGGTAGTGAGGAGAAGTTGGGGAGGTGGTGAGGAAAGGGATGGTAGGGGGAAAAACAGAGGAGGGGGTAACAATGCTCGATAAGAAATGTACTCATTACCTTATTCATGTAACCCCTTTGTACAGTATTCTTACCATAAAAAATACTTTAAAAACCTTCAAAATTGAAATCACTTTTTTTCTTTTTCTTTTTTTTTGTCCATCGCGGGGCTTGAACTCTGGGCCTGGGTGCTGGTCCTCAGCTCTTCAGCTCCAGGCTGGCGCTCTACCACTTGAGCTACAGCGCCACTTCCGGTTTTCTGTTGGTTTATTGGAGATAGGAGTCTCACGGTCTCTCCTGCCTGGGCTGGCTTTGAACCTCGATCCTCAGATCTCAGCCTCCTGAGTAGCTAGGATTACAGGCGTGAGCCACCAGCGCCCAGCCCACTTTTTTTCTTTTTCAACAGAAAGCCTATGGAATAAAAAGTAAGGGATCATAAGATTATTGAAAATTCTAAAAAAAGAAGTTGTAGTGGATTTTAAAGTTCTTAAAGTTTTTTAAGTTCTCTGAGGTTAAAAACTATTTTCCTAAAAGCAGTATACTATATAACACAAAATATAACAACGAAAATAAACCTAACATAATAAGATGTAATTCACTTTTCCTACTGTATTAACATTTGTGTTAATGAGGTTTAAAGCTGTGATAGGTAAAAATGAGCATCAGTCATTGCAGGACACCACAAGTGCTGTACTCAATGAGTTCTGCATCTCTAAGTCTTTATGAATTTTTTAAATGCCTATTTCACTGCTGCCTAGTATGTACAAGACCTTTAATTTTGTTAAATATTTTAGAGTACATATCCTTTTATCTTTTCCTGTATTGTGATGAAATGAGAAGGGTATGTTCAGTCAGCTCTTCTACTGTATGGCAGAGTGTAATGTTTCTGTCAGGGAAAGATTCTTATGCTCTTTCTCCAAACTGAACTAATCCACTATTTTTCATGGAATATCATTTTTAATTTAATGTCAAACAGTTTTCAGTTTCAGTATTAGGCAGATAGTTTTTGACATTGGATGACCCTGTTATTGATTTTTAAAAAGAGCTTAGGGTATTTTTATACTTTGCCTTTTTAAAATTCTGTGCAATAATGAGATGTTTTTGAAAATATATATTCATTTTCATGTTTTTATTACTATAGAAAAACACCTGAAGCAATAAACTTTAAAAGAGGAAATATTTATCTTAGATTACAGTTTTTGAAGTCTTAATGCATAGACCACATTTCTTCTTTGGCTTGCAGCAAGTATATCACAGCAATAATGGCAGTGCCAGGGTTTCTATTCACCTGTAGAAAAAAGAAATGGGAAAGGTCAAGTTTCCTCTTTAGGGCCGTGCTTTCAGTGACTTAGGCATCAGCCTCACCTTTAGAAAGTTCTACCTTGTCTTAGGTCATTCTAGATCTAAATACAGCAAGCACCATGAAATTAACATCTCCCAATTATATACTTTTCTGATGAGATCAGTAATAATAATGGCAAATGTTGAAAATCTTGTGTAAATTTTTTTTGGGGGGGGTCTGGTATTGTGGATGATGTAACCCAGAACCTTTTGCATGCTAGGCAAGTGGTCTGTCTGAGCTACCTCTAGCCCTTCTATATTTATCATATGACCAGATCATGATGTTACATTAGATATCATTCATTGCTAAATGATTCATAAAAATTTAAGACAATGTTTTTAAATGGATCAGAGTATGAGACAGTTGAGCAGATTTTAATATAAAGTATATGAACATTTCTTGCTGTGATTCCAGGTTATCTTAGTGTACCTATTTGAGTTTTGCTACAGAAAGAATAATAGCCTCTGAAGTTGCCTCCAATACTGTTTTTTTTAACCTACAATCTGTGTGAATCCATGTTTTTTCATATGCCTCAATGAAAACATTGTATCCAAGAATAGGGTACATGTGGAAGCACATTTGGAAATTCTGTTTATTATTGGATCAGGCATTACAGAGATTTCTAAAACATTTTTTTAAAAAGTGTCAATTTTCATTGTTATTCTTGGTTTGTGAAATAGCCTTGAGCTGAAGAGCTGAGGGACAGTGCCCAGGCTCAGAGTTCAGCCCCCACGACTGGACCCCCCCCAAAAAAATGTGTATGTACGTATTCATACATGTAGTTTTATGTAAATACATAGTTTGCAGAATGGGAGCTACTATTTAACAACAAAAATGGACCTTATTGCTAATGATAGTAAAATGTATTTAGTAATAACACAAACGTTGTATTGTTTCCATAAAATACATGATTTTCAATACTAATTATAGCTTCTATTTACCCCAAGTAGAAAATTATATAAATACCTTAAAATAGTTTTAGTTATATCGATAGATTTTTGTAGAATCATTATAAAAATAATTTTGAAGAATTCATGATAGGGATACATTCAGTTCATAACTTTGTTAGTTTGGTGTGTTTTGTTTTTTGGTATAGGTCCTGTCCCTGAGCTTTTTTCTCAAGGCTAGTGTTCTACCACCTGAGCTACAGCTCCACTTCCAATTTTTTGGTGGTTAATTGAAGATAAGTCTCACTTTCTTGCCCAGGCTTTGGGCTGCAAAACTTTGAACTGCAATCCTCAGACCTCAGCCTCCTGAGTAGCTAGGATTACAGGCATCAGTCAACAGCATCTATGTTACAGGTTTTGAAAGTAATATCTATAACTATATAGGACTATTTGTGTGTCTCCCCCCCCCCACCTTTAGTTAAATGCTAGCCAAAAAACAAAGAGAAAAAAAAGAAGATACATTAATCAGGAATAGGGGAGGGGAATGGCAACTTCAAAACAGTTTAGTTGTAACTTAAAAAAAGGGGGGGGTTGAATTGAGGCCCTCACACTTGTTTAAGTGTTCTGCCACTTGAGACATGCTCCTGACCCTTTTTGCTCTATTTATTTTTTACTTAGGGTTCACATTTTTGTCTTGGCTAGCCTGCAACATCCATCTTCTTATTGTGAACCTCTTGTGTAGTAGAATTGCTAGAATGTGCTACTATGCCTGCTCTAGATTTAACTTTTGATACATTTCTACAGCTGTTGTTAGACACTTAGCCCTCTTCTGTAATATGTGTGTATCAGTGTGTTGCATTATTGCAGAAATGATATGGTTTAATTGTTGCCCTTACAGTTATGTAAATCTGAAATAATTGCACATTGTGTGCCTTTTTTAGACATCAAGGAAACCTCGTGAAGAAAGAGATGTGTCTCAGTGTGAAAGTGTTGCTTCCACTGTTTCTGCTCAGGAAGATGAAGACATTGAAGCCTCCAATGAAGAAGAAAATCAAGAAGATAGTGAAGGTATCTCAAAATCTTAAATTTAGTTGTGACTTCTGACATCCCACATGTAATGTATACTTTTTTTCTTCCCTGAAGAAAAAGTTTATCACTGTTTTTATGGCATAAACTTTGAACTTGAACATACTGTACTGACCAACAAATACTTATATAGTACGTAAGGTGGTTCAAATACTACAACTAGAAGAGCTTGAAACTGACAGTCCAACTTCATGTATCAAGTACCAACATGAATAAAATGTGTGCCTATCATTGCTGAATCTAATTGTTCAGTTATCATTATATTTCTTTTTTATTGTCTTAAGGTTGACTTCATATTTTAAATTTACATATATCATATTTGTGCTTCATGATTTCATATTTTTTACCATGTAAATATATTGGATTTATGCTTTCCTATGATAAGAATTAATGAATCTAGAAGGTCCAGTAGAGAAATACTAACCTAAGATACTGACGGAATAATAAAATCCCTTTGTTTCTTGAGTAAACCAATTATAGTTTTTTTTTTTTAACGTAAGCATTTTAAGCACTAATGAAAAGAAGACACTAATAATTTATTTCAGATTACATTACTATTAACATTTTAACAACTTTCTTTTACAAATCGACTGTCTCTGGTGTGAGGATTCCCATAATGTTCCTTTTAGTCATTTATAATATTACAAATATTTGCCTGTCAATTGGCCAGTGGCTCACACCTATAATCCTAGCTACTCAGTAGGCTAAGGATCATGGTTCAAAGCCAGCCTGGGCAGGAAAGACCATGAGACTCTTATCTTCAATAAATCACTAGAAAACTGAAAGTGTTACTATGGTTCAAATAGTAAAGCGCTGGCCTTGAGCTGAAGAGTGTGGAGACAGCGCCCAGGCCCAGAGTTCAGGCCCCCCCCCCCCAAAAAAAAAATTGTCTGTCTCATTTGCTCTTTTTCTTTTGGATTACCAGAATTTAAATTGTGAGTTTAATAATAGCTGTTAATCTTTTTTAATTTTAGAAAGTATCTTACTATATAGTACTTGCTGAACCTCCCGCCTTAGTGTCCTAAGTGCTGGGATTATAGGCATATAACATCATACCTAGCTTAGAACTGTTTTTTTTGGGGGGGGGGAGGGGCTCCGGTCATGGGGCCTGAACTCTGGACCTGGGCGCTGTCCCTCAGCTCTTCAGTTCAAGGCTAGTACTCTACCACTTGAGCCACAGCGCCACTTCTGGCTTTTTTTTTTTTTTAATCTTATTTTTTTATGTGGTGGTGAGGAATCAAACCCAGCCTCAGGCATGCAAGGCAAGAGCTCTACCACTGAGCCACCTTCCCAGCCCAGAATTGTTTATCTTTTGTAGGCTTTTAAATTTTATGTAAACTCAGGAAGCCTTACACCTTCCTATTTGATAAATACTATGTTTTGTTTCATTGATTTATTTAGAGACAGGATTTCTTTTTGTTTGTTTTTTGTTTTTGGGTCTCGTCATGGGGCCTGAACTCTGGGCCTGGGTGCTGTCCCTCAGCTCTTCAGCTCAAGGCTAGCTCTCTACCACTTAAACCACAGCGCCACTTCCGGCTTTTTTTTTTTTATGTGATGCTGAGGAATCGAACCCAGGGCCTCTGGCATGCAAGGCATGCGCTCTACCACTGAGCCACCTTCCCAGCCCCAAGACAGGATTTCTTATATAGCCTTAAGCTGGCTTAGAATTTCCTTTGTAGTCAAGGATGGCTTGCAACTCAGAATCCTCCTGCCCTAAGTCTCCTAAGTGCTAATATTATGTGTCATCTTGTTTTTTACTTATTTTTTTCACTTACTGTTTTTTAATTTTAAAAAATTGTTTATTTGTGGTTGTGGGGCTTGAACATAGGGCCTGGATGCTGTCCCTGAGCTCTTTTGCTTTAAGCTAGTACTCTACCACTTAGAGCCACAGTGCTACTTACAGTTTTTTGGTGGTTAATTGGAGATAAGACCTTACAGACTTTAGACTTTCCTGCCCGGGCTGGCTTTGAACTACAATCCTCAGATATCAGCCTCCAGAGTAGCTAGGATTACAGATTTGAGCCACAGGTGCCCAGCTTTTTTTTTTTTTTTTTAATTTTTTGTGCTGGTAGTAGGGCTTGAACTCAGGGCCTGGGTCCTCTTCCTAAGCTTTTTGGTTCTCTGTGACTTGAACCACAGCTGTACCTTTAGCTTTTTGGTGGTTAATTGGAGATGAGAGTCTCATGGACTTTTTTTTTTGCCAAGACTGGCTTTGAACAGTGATCCTCAGATCTCAGTCTCCTGAGTAGCTATTATTACATGCATGAAACTCTAGCACCTGACTATTCTTGTCTTTTTTTTTTTTTTAAATCAATTGTGGGGCCTGAACTCTGGGCCTGGGCACTGTTCCTGAGCTCTTTAGCTAAAGGCTAGTGCTCTACCACTTGAGCCACAGTGCCACTTAGTTTTCTGGTGGTTTATTGGAGATAGTCTCAGAGAATTTCCTGCCTAGGCTGGCTGTGAACCATGATCTGCAGATCTCAGCCTCCTGAGTAGCTAGGATTACAATCATGAGCCACTGGCGCTCAGCTTATTCTTGTCTTTTAAATATAAAATTTGTCTTGAAATGAGTTTTGTCTTTGAACGTTAAAGAAACTTTTTCTGTGAGTCTTTTTAAAAAAGATTTTTTTTTTTTTTTTTTTGGGTCCGGTAGTGGGGCCTGAACTCTGGGCCTGGGCGCTGTCACTCAGCTCTTCAGCTCAAGGCTAGCGCTCTACCACTTGAGCCACAGCACCACCTCCGGCTTTTTTTCTTTTTTTTTTTTTTTGCTTATGTGGTGCTGAGGAATTGAACCCAAGGCCTCAGGCATGAAGGCAAGCACTCTACCACTGAGCCATCTTCCCAGCCCCAAAAAAGAATTTTTATTATTATAAAGGTGATATACAGAAGGTTACAATTGCATAAGTCAGGTAAAGAGTGTATTTCTTTTTGGACAATTTCTTCACTTTCTATCAGTTTTTCCCTCCTGTCTCTACCCACAAGTTCAGGCTTTTTCTGGGGGGGTGGAGAGGGTTAAAATGAAGTAATACGGGTATAAAGAGAATATTGGAGGAAGCTCACTCTTATAATAATGCTGCAAATGCAATTTACTATACTCATGGTACTTTCAGAGCCCATAAGAGTCAGTGCATTTACAATAGTTTTAGCTGGTAGCTAGTATTTCCTGGTATTACAAATGTAAATGAGACCTGGACAGTTTTTTCTCTTTTTTTACAATGTCAGTCACTGTGTGAAAATATTACTTGGAGAGAGAGACCATGTCCACAGAATTTTTATTCTAGTGTAATTTTTTTGTTTGTTTGTTTGGGTCCAGTCATGGGGCCTGAACTCTGGGCCTGAGTGCTGTCCCTCAGCTCTTCAGCTCAAGGCTAGTGCTCTACCACTTGAGCCACAGCGCCACTTCCGGCTTTTTTCTTTTTGCTTATGTGGTGCTGAGGAATCAAACCCAGGGCCTCAGGCATGCAAGGCAAGAACTCTACTACTGAGCCACCTTCCCAGCCCTCTAGTGTAATGTTTGATTTGTTCCATTTTATTTATCTCTTCCTGTATCTCATTTATAAGTAAATTTTAACGTGACTGTATAGGTGGAGAAAAGGTAGTATATGTATTTATATTTGGTACTGTATATAGCTACGGGTATAGTGTGGTTTTGGAACACACTTCCTGGGACAATATAGGTCAACTGTATTAATCTTTTTGGCTGTTAGAATACTATACACTGGATGGCTTAAACTACAGACACTTATTTTTGCCTATTAGGAGGCTGAAAATCATGATCAGACTGCTGGCCAAATTCCTTTCTAATGTCAAATCCTCTTCCTGGTTTGTAGAAAGTCCTCATATAACTTTCCTCTGTAGGTATACACTCCTAGTATCTATTCAGTAACAGCTCTGCTGGATTAGAGGCCACTGTTATAACTTCATTTAACTTCAGTTTAAGGCCCTGTCTCCAAATGCAGTCACACTGGGTATTAGGGCTTCAACATTTAAATTATGGAGGGAGTCACAATTTAGTCCCTAATAAAGCCCACCCCTATTATTATAAATTTGTTAATTTCAGAACAAAAAAGTTCTGTTCATAGATGGGTTAACCGATTCTTAAAATATTAGTACCACAAAGTTGATTTTTTCCCTTTTATTTTTTTTCCTCTTATTTTGTCTTAGTGTAAAACCTTTTTGAAAATATTAAGATAGTGTGTCCCTCTGATTTGATCCATGATAGCCTAGTTAGTTACATTTTATGCAGCCATACATAAGGTTATCCTGTGACATTTTGAATAGTTTTCTAATAATAGGAAATGAAGTTAGTTTTATTTGTAAGTTTTTATAGAACAGAATATAAATATAGATGAATATATGTTATATGAATATATAACAATATAAATATGTGACTTGTGATTGTACACTTGTAGTTAACTCAGGTGCACTGTTTATTGTGTGACAAGGCTCTTGCCTGTGGAAGAATGAAGAATATAGAATGAAGGGATATATGTGTGTGTATACATATACATACATATATATGTGTGTGTGTGTGTGTGTATACATATATATATGTGTGTATACATATATATATGTGTGTGTATACATATATATATGAGTTGAGAATTTCTGTGAATCACTTTTCTTAAAATATATTTGACATTCAAGATTAAAGTAGCTGAATCAGAAAGATTTACTACTTAACAAAATTTGGATTTATTCTTATTCTCTTGTTCTAAATAATTACTATATACATACCACATATAAATGATTAGTATTTAATGTAATATGTTAAACACATATTTATGTGTATGTAATGTATGATTGTACAAAATAGATAAATATCATGTGGGCACTGGTGGCCCATGCCTGTAATCAGAGCTACTGAGGAAGCTGAGATCTAGATCACAGTTCAAAGCCAACCTGACATACAAGTCTCTGAGGCTCTTTTTTCCAGTTAACCACTAAAAAAGCTGGAAGCAGAACTGTGGCTCAGGTGGTAG